TGGAGTTCTGAGTCGAACCGACCTAGATCTGAGTGTCAAGTTTACTGTGACTCTTAATCATTGCCTACTTCTCTGACCTTCAGTTTCTTCTGTAGATTTGGAATATCTCCTTTTATTTTTTTCCTGAAGATTAAAAGACAATGTATGAACAGGCCTACTACAGTCTCAATAAAATTAGCTGATAGCATTTTGCATTATGTCTCTGTCATCCGTAGTGTCTTAAGTCCAGAAGTTTAAAAACACAAGACGAAATGGCAGAATGCCTTCGTGTTTTCCAGATCCTTTGTAGGTTTCCTTTTGCTTCCTCTCAGAGGTAAAGATGCTCTTTGTTGGAAAATCTTACACGTATATGCATTTCTCACCATAAAACTCAAGATACAGAATTAATAGCATTTTTAAAGTAGGACATTTGTTCCTCTCACATGACTCTTCAAGCACACACTCTTCTAAGTGCAGTGTGGCTTGTGTTGGTCGGCGGCGCCCACGGGCAGAGGGGGCCTTGCCTGCTTAGAGCCTGCCCTGCCTGCACGCGTGTGGCCCCGGAGCAGCCTGGGAAGGATCGTGGCGAGTGAGAAAGCTCATCTTGTATTTACCAAAAGTGAGTGTTTCCTTTGCCTCCCAGAAGTATTTATTTGTCTGGTTAAGTGGGAGAAGGAAGAAATTCTACTGTGCTGTTGCCCTAGTCCAGCGTTTGTCTGGTGCTGAGCTGTTAATTCAGAGAATTATAAAATGGGGGTGTCCCCCTCCACCAAATGGGGGAAAGCTAGGCCCAGCCACCTTAGCCTGACTTTTAACTCACGAGCTGTTGCAGAGCCTCTGCTGTCTACATGGAGTGTGTTATAAATAGGGGTGGGGATGGGGTGTGGTCAGGGGTGCGGGGGCGCACTGGCTCAGTACACAGCAGTTGTCAGACTTAATTAGGCCCTTGGGCCCTGTCCTCTGAGTGTCTCTGGTGTCACCTGGAGACCCTGTGGAAGTGACCCTCCGGTCAGTGTCACTTGAGAGCAGCGCCCCCCTGTGGCCTCTCTTGAAGGCTCTGTAAGGGGGGAACAGGCCTTGGCGCTCGCGGAATTCGGTGGTTCTTAAATATCTTCTGTTGGATGGAGCCTGTTGTGGTGGGATCAGTGCGGATTCCTTACTGAGGACGGCACCACCACATAGGCCACATCATTTGCCAAAACACTGATTTTAAAACAGATACCCGTAAAAAATGTCCTGGGGAACTTAAAAAGAAGATAACGCCGAGGTTCTTTTCACTCTGGTCTGCTTTTTGGTCAAAGATGTGGTTTGCTGTCTTACGCATTTGGGACACCTGTGAGAACCTAGTAAGGGCGCTGGGTTTTCTTTCTGGAGGCACACGGACGTGCCAACTTTTGTCCACGCCTGCATGATGTTGATAGCCCCCACCGCACACCCCCAAGCCCATGGATCTAATTCAGCAAAGAACTCCTGAATTAAGTTTCCCCAAATACGGATCGAATGCCAAGCAGCATGTTAGCCCAGAATGCAGATATCTGTGCGCCCCGTGACTTGCTTGGCTGTGGGGAGATGAGACCGTGTTTCAGGAAGTTGCACGTTGTCACGGGCCAGAGGAGCCCGAAGGAGCGGCACGGCCAGTCCCGAGACCATGGTCGTTTAGTGTGTCTTCCCAAGGCGGCAGGTTGAGGGGCCGACGCCCTAGGAGCGTGGCTCTGAAGGAAAGGGGGCAGGTTGCTCCCCGCCTCTGACATTTGTCCATCTGGGGACATCTTTGGTTGTCACCACTAGCACAGGGGAGGGTAATGCTACTGGCTTCGTGTAGGTAGAATCCAGGGATGCTCCTCCCCATCCTACAACGCCCGTGACAGTCCCGCACGACAGAGGATGGCCTGGTCCCAGTGACGGCGGTGCCGAGGTTGGGCCGCCGTAGAGTTGAGCCGCCGCCTCCTAGATTGTATCTGTCACCAGTAGTGATATCAGAATAAGAAGGTCTGCATTTTTATTTACGTGCGATGCTTCTTGGTAGAGATGTAGGAGGAGAGAGATGATGATGAGATGGGTAGGAAGTGAATAAGCCAGGTTGGTATTTCAAAGAACTTTCCTTTCACGGAAGAGCTGGAGACTTAAGGAGGATTTCAGCTCTGAGGTCAGCTCACCTCAGGTTCCGCCTGAGGGCTTGGATGTAGGAAACCACCTTCTTTTTCTCATTGTTCTTTCTACCTCAGTCTCGAAGCTGTGACCTTTTTGTCTGTCATACCTCTAAGGAATAAATGCCAGAGTAATGTTTAAAATTGTTGCCCCTATTAGGAAGTTTTATTCCCACAGCCCCACATAGCTGTTGAGGAAAGAAGATGGGGATAGGAAAGGTGTATGTTTTATTTCCCGAAAGTGGGCATTTCTTGTTTCCTAGAAGCCTTTGGCCCGGGAAGTGGGAGGCGGAAGGGACTCGCCCTGCAGTTGCCCTGCCCAGCGCTGGCCTGCACCTCCTGAGCTGCTCTTGTGGAATGGGGGTGTCCATCTCCCACAGACTCAGGGGAGCCAGGCTCAGCCACCCTAACCTGACTTTTAACTCGCAAGCCTTCAGAGCCTTCAGTGCGTTAATAAAGTATATGGTGGTGGGTGCGGGAGGGGGCAGGTGCCCATGAGTGGCATTTCCTAATTAGGCCCTGGGACCCTTTTTTCTCCTCGTGTCTCTGGTGTCGCCTGGGAGACTCTGTGGAAATGGCCCTCTGCCCAGTGTTGCCTGAGAGCAGTGTTTCCCTGCGGCGTCGCCTCCAGAAGGCTCTGAGAGAAGCTGAAAAATACAGGTGCTGCGGGAACCTGTCCCGCCCCGTGGGGCTTCCTGAGACGCAGCTCCGTCACGGGTGCGTCCTTATCCGCTGTTATCAAGCCTCCAGCGAATGGTCGCTGCGCTCATCGGAGGGGTTTCCTTCTCAACTATATACATAAAAGCCATTTCTCTGTTTTGGAATGAATGAAAAGAACTAAGTTTTTTTTACTGCAAAGACAGTTGTTTTCTTGTGTAGTCTACAGGGACTTCTTGTTTTGTTTTCTCTCCGAGGAAGAGATGAAGGTAGCCTGGGTGTGTTCAGGCTCCTGTGTTTGAGGAGTTTTTAGTTGAAAACATTGCGCGTGCATACATCTGTCTCCCGGTTCCTGGGGTGCCCGGGGGCCTGGAGGCGGAGCTCCTCATCTCCCGCCTGACACGCTCCGCTCTTCATGCCTCCGTTCTTTCTTCTGGCCACACTCCCTGAGGACCCCAGACACTGTGGCGTTGCAAGGATGGCCTTGTAGCTGCCAGTCAGGCTCAGGAGATGACAGACTGAGTCACTGTTCCCACTCTGTTCGTTTCCCTGATGAAACCTGCCAGCTTTATTAATCTCTTGAGTCCTTCCAGCTACCAGTGAAAGGAAAATTACTTGGGGAGAAAAGCACTACTTCTGTTTCCCTCATCTCCACCTCCTTCCCGTCAGGATGACTTGTTGCTGCCCCACTCCAGGCCTGGTTTGGACACTTGGACACACTGTCTCCCTCACTGGCTCATCGCTGGTTTTCACAGCCGCAGCCCCGCTCTCCGGCCCCTGCCCCACCGCAGACCTCGGTGCTTCGGGCTTAGGAGAGTTTATTGAGCAAGCGGCAGTTTTCTGTCGGCAGCCGTCTGCAGCCGTTCTCTCAAAGTCTGAGGTTAAAAAGTGTGAGAAGGTACCACCTGGGGGAAAGTAGCATCTTTGAAGCAGGGGGTGGACAGATGTAACACCCGGTGAACACACCGGCGCTGCGCTGGGGGCCCTCAGTCCCCACAGAGGCCCAGTGTGGTTTCTGTTTGTCCGTGGTGACACAGCTTGCCCAAGATCACACGCACACCCCGAGGGTCAGGGTTCCGCCTCCGCTCGGGTGTCCGCAGCCTCGGCTTTCCCTCTGCATCCCGCCCGTTCCTGATGGGCCGCTTTGCGCCCTGCGTTGGGCATTTCCAGATGGGGGCTTGGAGATGCTGTATGGGCCCGCACGTTGTACGGCTTGAGGAACAGAAAGGAAAATGAGAGATGGGCTGCTCTCCTACAGGCAGTAAACAGGGTCATGTCAGTCCTGGCAACTTCAACAGACCTGTAGGGCCCCTTTGAATAATGCTATGGGACAGATGTTGTAGTTTAAGGTTTGGACCCCAGTCTTCTGATCTGAGGCTTCGGAAGGAGTCTACCAGGGACTGCCGACCATAAATGAGCGGTTACTCCTTTCTGGGCACAACTCTTCCACTTCCCCTTCTCATTAAGTTTCCATTTAGCTATTAGATAGGAGCTTCGGAAGGGGAAATCCAATCGTGTGTAATCGCCAGTTAATGGGCATCTATTGAACGACTAGGTCACCAGGAAGAATAATTACACAGTGCCTCTTTGTGCAGTAAACACAAAATCAAAAGCTAATGCATTCCTGAGGCGAGCCAGACTGTTACCGGCTAACAGCATCCTCCTCTTCAGGGAAAAGGTGGGGGCGGCCGCCATGCCCCCCGGGGGAGATGGCAGAGGCGGGCCAGGAAAACAAGGCCTTCACGGGGGGCAAGAGAAAGGCGGGGGGGGGGGGGGGGGGGGGGGCGGGGCACTGCCTGGGCTTCGTTGGCTCTGACTGCTGCTTGCTGGTTGAGGTGGATCCCTAGACCGCAGATGGTATCACACACGTTCTGGGCAGGCGTCAGGAACTTGCGGGTCTCCGGAGCTGCTTGCCACAAGTAAAAGAGTAACCATGAGAACTGAGGCGCTTCAGCCCCGCGGCCCTAGTTCAGCCTGTTCTCTGAGTGGGTCCGACCTTCGCCGGAGGCAGACTTCTATCCTACCCCTGACCGTATTGACTTACGAAAGATGAGCTCGGCCTCCTGACCCAGAATAGCACGTGCTGGCCGCAGCCAAGGAGCTCTCGGGTCTGTGTTGGCGCGCTCCAGTGTGGGTTTTCAAACTTACATTTTGGTGTAGTTATTTAGGATTTGCAAAACTTGGCATAATTCAAATAACCTGTTTTTCCCCCCTTAGAACACTTCAGTTATGGAGGATCAAAATGAAGATGAGTCCCCCAAGAAAAATACTCTTTGGCAGGTAGGAATGACTGCGCACAGATGAGATAGCAGTTGACTTACTGTAGATGAGATGTTCCCGCAGCCCATGACCTCAAGGAAAACAAGAGCCAAGCAGTTTGGGTGCTTTTGTTTGGTTTGTTTTGGTTTTCGGGGTCCGGGGGGTGTGCACGCGTGCAGTCGCTGGTTTCAAGACTCACCCTCAGTTTATCTTCTGTTCCCTAGAGAAGTGTCTCTGTGGACAGTAGTAAAGACATTGGGGTTTTCACAAAGATTCTGAGGTGCTTGTAGCCTGAAGTGTTCTGGGTCCACTGTCTAGGCCAAGGACGGACCGTGGCGGTGTCCCTTGTCACCAGAATGGTGCCGCGCCGCACACCAGTGCACGCGCGTCAGTGACGCTCCCGGGTCCCACCCCTCTTCCTCACTTCCTGTTGCTTTTCCCTTTTCAGCTCCGTTTTCTTCTCTCCTGGCTCTCCCTCAGCTTGCCCCCTTTCCTCCCAATCCCCCAGGTTTCTCTGGGGCGGGAGGATGTAAAGGTTCGCGATTTCGTGCTTTCATCAGTCATTATGGTGCAAGTCATTTTTCCCTTCATGAAGATACAAAGGCAGAACACATCTATATCTGAAGAGAATAATGTTAAAAAAAAGTTCTCTAGGTCCATTTGATTTGAAACAAAAGGGTAGAGTAGTTAGCAAGAATAAAGTATCCCCAGCAAATTTAAGATGAAATGAAACAAAAAAGCAAACCGGTGCCAGAAAGACCTTCCTGGGCTGGGCAGGGGCTTGGCAGCGGGGGCAGAAGGGGGCTCCAGGGCCCAGCCCCGCTGCCGGGCGGGGTCTGCGTGCGGCCTGCCTCCCGCTCCCTCCTTCGGGCTGGGCGTCTGCCACCGGATTCTCTTCCTTTGCAGTTGATTGTGCTGCGCGCAGTGGTTCTTCGCACACGCGTTGGCTGTCAGTTTTTCTTTCTCTGTCTTTCCGTCTGCTAGTTACGGGTGTGCCGTTGCTCTGGGGAGGGTGAGTGGTTAGGAGCCGTTGCTTATCAAGTGAGATACCGGCTATGGAAGTATCTTGTAAATTATAAAACAGTACACAAATGTACTTTCTTACCATCATTATATTTAACCTGTCATGAAAACAATTATACAGTACTTTGGCAAGTTATGAAAAATACAGTAAAAAGTGGGAGGAAAACACAGCTTTCTTTCTCAGGATGAAGCACTTCTGACATATTCATGTGTGTTCTTAACTCTGTCCTGGGGTGTTCCCCTTCACACAAATTATTGCGATTATGCTGTATAAAATTCTGCATCTCATCTTTTGTTAACATTATTTCATAAAAATAGTCTCTTGTTATTGAAATCTTATTTTTATAAACCTAATTTAATGGCTACATTGTAATGCTTCATGTTGATGTATTTATAATTTGCTTTAACCAGTTGCCTGTAATTGATCATTATTTCTCATTTTCTGTATTATAAACATTATGATGAATATTCTTATGCCTAAAAGTAGCAAAGGTGCTTCTTACACCAGTCACTGTTTGCCACAGCGAGGGAGTTTCTCATACGCTGACCCGCCTGGAATGTTGGTTTGTTGAGGTCTGCAGGGCTCGCCAGCATGAAAACAGCTGTGGAACGCTGCCCTCTGGCGGCGCCCGGCGGCGGGGCGCTCCCCTCACCCCCACCACGCGGAACACACCCCTAGATAAGGCCCAGATAAGATAAGCCGGGTGGGAGGTCGATGCCTTCCGACCTCATCCCTCTCAGTGTGGGCCTCAACACTCAGTGTGGACTTTCTTCAGACAGGAAAGGCCTATAGGATTTTTGCCTAGGAAGGCCAGAGACTCCTGGGGAAGTTTACGAAGGGTGCCTGCTTCCTCAAGTGGATTTAGTCAGCCGACTTTCAGTCAGGGGACAGACTGGTCAGAGACGCTCGTGGCTCCTTCTGTGGGAGGCTTCTGAGGGAAGCTCCTAATGGAATTATGGGGTTTTTGTAATACAACTCTCCAGTCTCCAGGAGTCTCTTACATGGTCTTCCTTCCGGCATTACCCGGGCAGGGGGCTGTCAGGAGAGTGCTGGCCGTGTAGCCTTACCAGCGTTTGATAGGAGCATTGAGGTTACTATGTTCTTAAACAAGATTACTCAGCCTCATGGCATCAGTAGCAGTTGTGGTTTCAGTCTAGGGATGCAAATTTTTTTTTTGTTGATGCTACTGTTCAGATGCAGTGTATGTAGTTTCCGATTTTTAAAAAAAAACTTACTGGTTTTATACAAGGACCATGTGGATTTAATGAGAAATGCAGTTAGCATAGGAGTGGGATGTCGGTAAGACTCCCGTATAAGACGAAGGACTTGTCAGACACCTGTGTTTTGCCTTCGATCACCTTTTGAGTAGGTGATCAAAGAAGGGAGTGAAAAGCTCAAGTGTTTTGCCAGCAGTTTGTAGCCCTGGAAACGATGGGGAGATAAGAACTGGTGGGTAGAATGAAGCTTTTTAGGTGCAATTGCCTTCAAGTTTCTCTGGGAGACCAGTGGTTTTCAAAGCGTGGTCCGCAGCCTCAGCCTCGCTGGGAGCTGTTAGCGATGCAGGTTCTCGGGCTCTGCTCCGGGCCAGTAGAAGCCGGCGTGTCTGGCAGGGCCTGCCCATCAGTGTGTTACTAAGCCCTTTGTGACTCTGAGGCACACAAGTGCGAGAACCGTTGGTGTAGGGGAAGCGTTGACCTTCAGCTTTGGGGAAGTAGAACTATCAGTTGCCACTTCGCCAGGTTGAGCAGTTTCCCCCAGAAGGTCCTCTCCAACATTAGTCATCTAGAACAGTGTGGTTTGGGAAGAAGCATTGGAGAATGGTGATTTAAGACATCATTAAGCTTTAGAAATAGCTGTAACTTTGGCATTTACTTTTGAGACTAATTTGAGGACAGGAGCTCTGAGTACATTTTTAATTACTTCTTGAATGAATTAATAAAGGAATGAGTGGCTTAAGGGTAAAACTGGCACTTTAAGATTAAATACACAGAGTGAAAAATGTTGCTAATGAAATACCAATTAGAATTTCTTTTCCTTGTCAAACTAATTATATTTTTGTTTTTCTAAAATAGATAAGTAATGGAACGTCATCTGTGATCGTCTCCAGGAAGAGGCCGTCAGAAGGAAACTATCAAAAAGAAAAAGACTTGTGTATCAAGTATTTCGACCAGTGGTCCGAGTCCGACCAGGTGGAGTTCGTGGAGCACCTCATCTCCCGGATGTGCCACTACCAGCATGGACACATTAACTCCTACCTGAAGCCCATGTTGCAGCGGGACTTCATTACCGCGCTACCAGGTAACGCGGCGCGGCCGTCCGCGGCCCAGCAGCGGGGGGACGCCTGCCCCAGGGCCGTGGTGGCGCCGGCTGGGTGTCTGTGAGAGGAGGGCGTGAGGGCAGAGCGGGGCGGCTCTCCTGGCACCGCCGCCCCCTTTAATACACGGCACTTGAAGACCGGGTCCACCTTAGCGTCTGTCTAGGAAGTGGAGGCCATTTCTGTGATGCAGGGTGTGGATCGGTGGTCAACATCATGCTTTTTTAATCTGTGTAATGATGAATGCCAAGCTGGGTTTGGTTTTTTGTTTTGTTTCGTTTTTTTGGATGTAGTCTATGTATAATCTGCATTTTGCCTTTATAATTAATTTTTTTTTTTAAAATATGGAACAACTTTTCCTATACTCTGTGCTTGGGAAGTTTAGAGTGTTCGTTGGTATCTGAAGCGACACTTAGGGAATAGGCAAAAACCTGCTGGGAAAACCGATAGCTTGTCTTCACTTCAAAACTTATGCACGCTTCCTCCATGCCCTGCTTGCCAGCACGCGCGCTCCCCACCCTCACCCCGCTGGTTAAGTTTGCTTTGAATCATTTTTAAATACACTACTTTTTAGAATAGTTTCAGGTACAGAACGTTCCGCTATTTGTGGCCCCCCCCCACCGTCCGTCCCCACTCTCCACATCCCACACCATAGTGGTACATTCATTATGACACACGGACCTACATTGGCATGTCACTGTCACCCACGGTCCACACTTGACCTTAGGGTTCACTCTGGGTGTTTTAATTAGGAGGGTTTTGACAAATGTATCATGACATGTATCTACCGTTAGCGTATCACACAGCAGTTTCTCGGCTCTGAAAATCCTGTGCTCCGCTTATTCACCCTCCTTTGATTTTTGATCACTCATTAATTCTTTTCTCTTTTTTCTGTCTCTCTCCATCTCTTTCTGTCTTCTTTTGGGTTTTTTGGGGTTTTTTTTAAATTTTTGATTTATATCTGGTGGGGTAAGAAAGAAACACCTCATTGCGGAAGCGAATGCTGGTCAGAACAGGGTCCTCTGCCAGGGTCCATGCAGCCCGGAGGCCCCAGCCGCCATGCCAGGGAGGCCTAGAAAGAGCCAGGGACGAGCCAGGGCCCTTGCCGCCAACTCTGCCCCGTCGGGGCTCCCGGGTGGCGCCTCGCCAGGCAGCCCTCGCCGGCCTCTCTGGGAGCAGCAGCGCAGCGGGGCGCATGTTGCACGTGCTCCCACGGCAAAGCCCTCCGGGCTCAGGCCTCGGGTGGAGCCTGAGGCTGCAGATTGACAGCCCAGCTTCCGATGTCTAATTCCTCTTCCCAAATTTGTAGGTTTCCTTTCTACAAAGGGAGCCTTTAAGGATGTTGAGAATTAGCTGAGCAAATTTTGACTGTTGTTTCTCTGTTGAAATACAGCACTGTTTGCCCCAGTGCATCAGTATTTCTAGGAGAGCAAAACAGACCCCTCTCTAGAATCATAGTATTTAACAGCCAAAAAGGGCTGTAGCCGTCACGTAGCCCTCTTTGTCATTGCGTAGACTAGGAAGCCAAGGATCAGAGAACATGGGTGAGAGGCCCAAGATTTCTCACCTCGGGAATTGTGGCGATTGTGCGGGTGGCGGTGCCGGGTGGCTCAAAAGTTGGTGCAAAGGCAGAAGTCATTTCTAGGTTAGATTACTCTGGGAAATTCCTTTCATTGGCCTGAAGTGTACACTACATGGTTTACAACACAATTCAGTAATACTGATTTTTAACTACGATAGGGGGGGAGTTTGAGATCTAGAGGTGGAATCAAGTAAGATGAGCACACATGTGATAGGATACGGGTCTCCTGCCGGCGCAGCGTCAGAACTCGAGCCCCCAGGGCAGCCTCGCCACTGACTCAGGCTGCATCTCTCACCAGGAAAAGTTAGGGTGGTTTTAAAAACTGACAATTGGACTTGTTCCTCCCTAAAGTGCTTTTAACTAAACGAAGCTATGCCTCCATTTTCCTTAAGCAAAACTTTCTACTGATTTCTGTTTGTTTGCTTGCTTTCTACTGTTGGATTTTATTTTATTGTGCCCTATAATTTGCTGCTTAAACATTTTAGAGAGCTGGGGAACTGACCTGCTGTCTACAGAACGTCCACAAGGTGGCAGTGTTGTTCTCTTGATTTGTAGAGTATAGTTCAGAGGCAACCCCTTTCCTTGGGGCGTGTACAGTCTTGGAGAAGGGAAAGAACGGACGAACATGTGTTATGTGTATAAATATGGTTAGTATAATCGCATACAGTTCAGTTTTCATTACAGTGAATTTAAAGGTATTGTCCATATCTTTGTTAAAAGTGAAATTTTGTGGTACTGAATATTATATGAAAGGAATGGACCATTGGCTGGGACAGGGAAATATTTTTGTTAAAATGCTATTTTTTTTAACAGGATTTGATTTGAACATATATACATATGTCAGTGTATATCATACATAGGACCGTAATAGCTGGGGACAAGCTGGCCGAGTGGATTCTGTTAGTTACTGTCTAGCAGGCTTGGATTAAACCTGGCGCTGGTTCATCCCCACAGACCTAACAGTGGCGTGGGAGAAACAGGTCCACGTGTGTGTTCACGCTTTGTTTCACTAGCGTGTGGAGCAACTCGCTAATCATGGCTCTGCGTCGGTGCTCAGCTTTTACTGTAGATGATCTTGAGTTTGACTTTTTTCTCTGCTGAAATTGACAGTCAACTCAAGACTTCTTTTGATTGTAAAAACCATTAGTTCTATAAAAATTGTCTATAGTTTTGCTTTTTTGATGCTTACCGTATCATACCTGTTAGGATGGGGAGAATGGAAAAATGCTTGTGGTCTCTGGCTCCTTTTGGTTCAGTGGAAAAAGTGATAATTATGACATGGTTTTCTAAAAATCACGGTAACTGTTTAGTCTGCAATGTCAATTTCTGCAGGCTAAGTTTGTGGTTTGTAAGAACTGTTGTTAAAGGGGAAATTTATACCATTTGAAGTAGAGGCGGATTGTACTGTAAAAAGAATGATAAGCGTTGATGATCCACTTGGTGAGGTGTCGGAGCAATTAAGAATTTTGAAACATTTCACTCCTTGGCTGTGGTTTATTCATTGGTTATATCCCCTAGAAAGGGTGATACATCGTTAGGGACTGGCAGGGTGACAGGGACCAAAGCAAAGGGCTCGGGGTGTGGAAGAGCCAGAGGAAAGCTAAGGCTGCAGGCTGGGAGCCACGCAGCACAACCTTGTGGCAAGAGGGCGCGCGCTGGAGTTAGCCAGCCCCTCGAGGGGAACCCCGGCCCCGCACTTAGTGGGGACGTGAGCCCACTTGGGCTGTCAGTCTCCTTATCTTTGTGGGACTAATAATAATAGGAATAATACGACTTAAAGGGATATTGTGAAGATTAAAGAATGTGTATAATATGCCTGGCATCTGGTGGGTATTCTGAGGGTGGCAGCTTTAAAAAAGAAAAAAAAGCCCAGAGAGACAGGAAACACCTGCTTCTCCAGAGGTAATAAGATTTATTGCCAGGAAGTTTTTATTATTCACCCACTAATTTCCGAATTGATTCATCCTGACATCATATAGGTAGGTGTGTGTGGCACTTTGTTGGCCCAACAAAATGTTGGACTTTGTGACCTGAGCATCATGTCACTTCATTTCTCCCTGGTTCCTTTGGTCGGTATATTCCAAGGTCAGGGCATCCATTGACAGACCGCTGTTGGCAACTGCGTTGCTTTTTTGTTTGGGTTTCTGACTTCAGATTTTACAACTGCACAGCTCTCTGTGACTCGGAAGGGGGAAGGGCCAGCAGAGGTGGGTGGGGAAGGCCCTGTCTTCGCAGCTGCTCTTTGAAATGCGTTTCTAAAATAAAAGTGTAACTGTATGATCTAAGCAGCTGTGTTAGAATTGGCTGTAGTCAAGGGCATTGAACTGACATTACACATTCGAGTTTCATTTTGATACAACATTATTTACATATTGAGCTTTGAAATTCATGCCTTTTAATTGTTTTAATTTATTGTTGAAATGTTTCCAGACCTTCGTCTGGTGCCTGTAATTAGCAGCAGCAGTCCTTCTTCGGCACCGGGAGTGCAGCGTTCTGGCCTGAGTGTCCGAGACAGCGGGGTGGTGCGTCCTCCTGTTGCCCTGCGGGGGTGGGGATGGGAGGGATGGGGCGTCTCCACACGACAGAGTGAACGAGAGCCAGGGACTGGTGCTTAAGAGAATGCTTAGTTTTAACACCTCAGACCACTTTTCAACCCAGGTAGTGGGCCACCTTCTTCAGTAACTTCTTCGTCCTGAATAAGCTTGAAACCAGAATGTCGGGAGGTCTGCATGGCTTCTGGGAGTGGCTGCTCGTTGGGGCACAGGCAGAGTTTGTGTGAGCGCTAGTCTTCAGACGCGCACGGGAGCCTGAGACGTATAACCAGGGTATCAAGGGGGACCTAGCACTTTGCTAGAGGGACTGTATAATACTTTTTCATGCAAAATAACAGAAAGGCAAGGAACACTGCTTGGCTTCCTTGGCCAACAGCGTCTGCCTTAGGGGACGTGGGACCGAGGGGACGATAACAGACTGGTGTTGGCAGGGGGCCTGGCCTGTGTCCGGCCCCCTGAGAGCCTCTCCGTAGCAGCCTTCCCAGCCAGCCTAGGAAGTGCTTTCTCTCTAAACTAGGGCTGTGGAGGGCACCCTTTCCAGGGGCTAGTGGGCAGTTTGCAGGAGATGATCCATTGTGGGCATGGAACAGCGTGTCTGTTTCATGAAGACTGAGGTCCAGAAAGGAAAGCTGACGTGCTTCAACCCAGGTTAACTGAGTCTGCAGCCCGCGCATTTTCCAAGAGACTATAAAACATGCTGCCTCCTGGAAGGACGAAGGGAATTTAAAGTGTTATCCGGAGGAAGCAGATCTCACGGTGTCACTGACCTGTTGCCCATCTGGAGCGCTGGCGTCTGCAAGAGGAGGGGGGTGTGTTAGGGAGAGATTTCCTTACGCAAGGACGCACGGGTAGCCCGGGTGAGCGGTCGAGGAGGCAGAGCCCGAGGGCTAAGGGCAGCGTGGTGTGAAGCAGCAGGGCCCGGCACAGGAGAGCCGCCTGCTGGGGCTTCTTAACAGTGCCTTCCTGGCCCCCGGCCCCCAAAGACGCGCATGCAGCAGTAGACCGGAAGAATGTCCAGAGGCTCCTGTGTTTGTTGCAGTTGTTTGTGTTGGTTTTTAAATCGGTAACCCTGAGTGATTCATCTACGACAAACAGGCTTCTGAGAGCCAGCTCGTAGGGTGCCCCGCCAGGTGGGAGATTTGGAAACTGCACAGGCAGGGGGATGGCGCGGCCATTCAGTCCTGGAGAGGCAGCATCGAGTGCGTGCTGGTCCCACCGTGCGCTTCCTCTTGCAGAGAGCAGGCGACTCGAGCTGGGAGCTGGTCGATGACAGGGAGGTCATAAAGACCTTGCAACGTGGCTGTGTGCTAACATCACGTGTGGAACCAGGAGGTAGATAAGTACTCCGGCAGGAAAAAGAGTCAGAGAAAACCTGTTTATTAGCCCATGGATAGGATTCTACAAGAAAATAAGATTAAAGTGGGCTGGGAGATCCTGAAATTTGAAGTTCTGATGAATACTTTGTCGGTGCTAGAAATGGAGAGGCACAAGAAGAAGCCCACGTGATTGATTGTCCGTGGATTTCCCTGATTAGAAATAAAGAAGGTCAGAAAGATGGAAGAAAGGGGCGCATAATCATGTAGATACACAAAAAGGTAGCCTGAACCTTTGAGAATGTATCAAGAAGGCAAAACCCTGAATAATGGAAAGTTGCCCGAACGGGCAGGTCGGCCAGGAGAGCTGGGAGCAGACACAAACAGCCGCGCCTGGAGGCGGCGGCGCCCTGGGCATGGAGCGCAGTGATCGCAGCAGGGGGTGGCAGATTTTCGCTCCCTTTTTCACTTAACCTTTTGCTCTTTCCCACTGAGAAGCGTGGCTTTAAAACCAGGAAGGATAGAAAAATTATAGTTCAAGAAAGCTCCGAAGATAATTAGGAAACACGTAGCCCCTATAAACAAGTAGACCAAAGGCAGGGCTAGTCAGGACAGCGACAGAGCCCGCAGGTGATGTTCGAAGCTGGAGGACGCCAGAAACGTGGGCAGAGTGACAGGGCACCCCTGTGCCCCTCACCGCTTGCTGCCGCGTTTGGTGGCCCCGCGCGTCCCTGCCCTGGGACAGTGGTGAGCAGAGTGTCTGCTTTCAACCACCGGGGGTGGTGTATTTGGCAGACCGCAGTGGGTAAAGGTGCCACTACCCTTGAGCAGAATTCTTACATGGGTTATCGAAAGTTGGTGAGCGCTGAGAAGACTGTAGGTTTTGTAAGCCTGGAAGGGTGTCCGTAGAGTGGTCAAGGCTATTGTCCCTGCGAGGTGGGATTTGGGGCTTTAAATGCTTGTGTGCACTTTATTATACCTCATATTTCTGTCATGGACGCGGGCTTTGCATGTTAGAAAGGGACACAAAGCAGCAAGTGCCAACTGGTAAAGAAAAAACGCAATCCCACCTTTATGTAGTAAGCACCAGCAAGGGAACACACAGAATAATAACCGTACCAGACTCACCTCAGTTCCTTTTTGGATAAAGCTACCCGGCTAGTATTTCAGAAAAATGATGGCAACGTGGCAGTGTCCTCACGGGACAGAGGCTCTCTGGACATCCCCGAAGACTGAACGGAGGCGTGGAGGGCCGCGCAGCCGGGCGGGTGCAGAACAGCGCCTCAGGGCTGGTCCCTCGGGAGCATTCAGCGCGGGGATCAGCGCGTCCTGGAGGGACAGACCTGGAGTCAGGGTGCTGTCCTTGGTTCTGGCCCGTGGAGCACTTGCCCACAAACTCGGGGTAAAGACGTACTGCGTTTGCCCGTCGTGCAGCTCTGGTGCGGACCCCCCACCCTCCCGGGTGACGAGTCAGAACTCCAGGGGCCAGAGTGGCGCCGCCAGATACAGCTTCAAAGGGGAACAACAGTGAGGGTGACCGCAGACCCCTGACCTAAGCCGGCCCCCACCTCCTCAACCCACCGTGCCGGGCAGGCGCGGGGAGCAGCTTTACCAGATGTTTTGGAGGGGAGACCTGAACTTCCTGCCACGCAGGGACGCACTGTGGTGGGACGACTGGACGAAGGCAGCGCACCGTTGCCTGCATTAGCCGCAGCGCAGCGACGCGCGCGAGAAAGCCTCGCGGTCCCGGTGCAGCCCCCCGTCTCGGTCATCGCTCGAGTGAGAGGTCGAGGCCAGAGTAGGAGAAGCAGTGTACGAGGGCCTGCACACCGTAATCCACAGTGCAAACAGTCATTTTAGAGTTGAAGAAAACCTTCGTTTGCAAAGCATTTTTATGTATCATCTCATGTCGATGCTGTTAAAATAAATAGGGCAGAGACGGCTGTCCTCGTGTTAGGCGGATGAGGAAGGCAGGACCCTGGGAGTCCCGGGGCTGAGCCCTGCGCCCTGCGCCCTGCCGCCGCTCCGCTGCGTCTGTTCACCCGGGGAGGAGAAGAGATAGTGAGCCTGCCCTGTAGTCTTTAAAATCTTTTCATGAAGTTCATTTGATTTCTACAGACAGAGGGGGGAAGGACAGTTTGTTACTGGTGAATGACCCTTTTGTGTGGTTAAAAGAAACAGGGACAGGATATGTCAGTACTTGGTTCATGTCATAGAACTACTGTGTGTTGAGCCTAGACTTGAAACCAGACCGTTCTGCCCGTAGGTTTAGTGTTCCCACCGCCACACTGCAGGGACCCGGGGAAGGGCTTTATTCCTCAGACCACAGGGGACGCGCCGACAGCCACAGCAGGGGTGTTTGCGGGGGCCACGGGGTCGGCCATAGTGAGCTCACGCAGGCAGAGGCTGACCTTGGTGGTCTTTCAGGGGACCTTCGCATGTGTGGGGTAAACCTGCTAAGGTTCTAGAAGTTGTAGACACGTACCTCTTGCTTTTGAGAACTTTACCTCCACAAGAAGGAGACGAAGAAATTAGTGACAAAAGTGTATCTAAGTACTGACGTGGAGCTTTTTAAGATGTCAGCATTTTACTTTTTTGTTTCCTTATCTGCCAAGCGATTCACATAGATCAGGGATTAGGACGATTTGTTGCAAGAGACAGTAAATAGAGGAGAAAGACCACAAACTTGGGAGAAAGATGTGAGTTCCAGTCTTGGCTTTACTGCTCTGTGGTTGAGGGCTTTACTCAGCTTCTCTGTGCCTCATCTGTAAAATTTGGGAAGTCATTATCCCCTAGTGGTTTAAAAATCTGAGTTATGTAAAATGATTTCATTGTAACTTCTGACAAATTCCGAATTGTCCGGGATCAGCTTTTTATACAATAACTGCCACTGTGAATGGCTTTATTTTTAAAAAGTCAGAAACAAAAAGAAGCAGGTTTGTTTACAAGCACGTGTGCATCTACAGAACAGCCGGTGTTGCTCAAGCACGTGACCTGGTTCAGCGCCTCTTTATTCCTTGTGTCCTCAGGGAACGGTGACTGGGACGTGTCCTTGCCCTTCCCACCCTTTCATTGCTTTTTCTGTCTTGTAGAGCAAGGCTTAGATCACATAGCGGAAAACATCCTTTCGTACCTGGACGCGCGGTCTCTGTGCGCGGCCGAGCTGGTGTGCAAGGAATGGCAGCGCGTGATCTCCGAGGGGATGCTGTGGAAGAAGCTGATCGAGCGGATGGTGCGCACCGACCCCCTGTGGAAGGGCCTTTCAGAAAGAAGAGGGTGGTGAGTGCTGGGCTTGCTCGTCCCCGAAACAGCGTCTCTGACCTGGGGTCTGCGTGATGACCCAGGAAGCCATTACACTTGCCAGGCGCTTGGCCTGCTGCAAGTGAGCGGGGAAGGGGGTGGGGGCAGTTAAAGCTGTTAGAATGTTTCCTTCTGAAATGCATGTTTTCTTTATATTTATTAACTTCTAGGAAGCTTTGTATTTGAGTGATTTGGCTTTTTCAAAGCTGTGCTTTTATGCTTTTTCTTTCACGTTGTCTTAAGTGATAATACCATTACCAAGAGATAGATAAGAAAAAAGAAACTATGAGAAAAATCAAATAACGCCATTTGGCTCTTGGCGGTTGCTCCTGGTTGAAGATAAGGGGAGGCACCGCCGGCAGGCTTGCGGGGTTATGTGTGTGTGTGTGTGTGTGTGTGTGTGTTTCTTTTCCCCCCAGGGAAAACGCATGAACTTAAATGCAGCTCCGCGGGCACGGCCAGCTCAGGGAAGGGGCTGCGGGGAGAAGGTGGTGTGAGGCCGGGCCTTGCGCTCTTGTGGGGGAGGGAGTTTGACGTGGGCCACGTTGGGCTTCCCACGAGGCCGCATTAGCGCCTCCTGTTAACCTATGGAGTGAAGGGCTGGATGGCTGTGTGTTGAGCATTCAGAAAATAAAAGGGCAGGATCCTATTAGAGAGCTGTACATTGAAGTAAACTTGTGTCAGAGGTGTTCAGATGCAGAAATCGTACTTTTCAACTGTTAAATGTTAAAGTTCAATGCAAGCCAAAAAACGTGAGTGATACAATATCTTTGTAAGGACCATGTTTAAATAAAATTCACCCTTTTATGTGCAAAAACATAACATCTGTTTGTTTTTATTTGCCAGGGATCAGTACCTGTTTAAAAACAGACCCACAGATGGCCCCCCCAATTCATTTTACAGGTCCTTATACCCAAAGATCATCCAGGATATAGAGGTAACTTTATGATTTATCTTTTTTTATGGGCTCTTTGTGTCTCATTCTCAACTCTTTATGTTGCCTTAGTGTTCTGTTGACCTAAAATCATGGGATAAGTAGTGTTTTTTTTTTTCAAGTTGAACTCTTGGAGCAAGTGTGTCGCAATCAGTGAAGAATCTGTAGCTGTTCCTCAGAACATATCACATCTTTTTGTAAAAAGTGACCTAACTTCTCTAAATCATGAAGTGCTTCTGCAGGGCTGCTGTAATTAAAACTTGATCCAAAATCAACTTTTCCTTCTAATTTGATAAAATTTCCAAAATCCAAGGCCCAGAGTTTTAGGCAAGCAATTTTATATTTTTGAGCCATGTCTAGCAAACTAGAGAAGGCACAGTCTCAGTTTCCTCTGTAAATTTCCCATATTTTTTCATAAAAATGACTCAAATATGATTGTAAGCAATAATTAAGTGGGTTTTATAGAGCAAATTATGCTTCTGGACCATTTTGGATGTGAATGTAACTTCAGCAGACCAGTAAAACTCTGTAAACTTGATGAGGACCATTGGAGGTGTTTGATATTGTTCATGTGTTCTAATTGGTTCAGTTTTATTATTTAGCCCTTTTCCTTGAACCAGGAAAGACACGCACAGGCATTTCTCATTAACTCTTTCACATGTGTTCTTGGCAGGTCCTGGTTATTCCACTATTTCCTCCTTGGCAGAAAAATGTAGCCTTCTCTGGGCAGTGCTGTATCACCCATAAAGTTACACTCGGCTGCCCCAACGTGAAGTAACCCTCTCCCCCAGGTGATAGACATAAAAGTTATTGTGCCAAAATTCATTAATGGAGCAACATGTGCTTTTTGGAGGGTTCCCCCCCTCCCCTTTTGGAGGCAGATGTGAACTAATGGAATCATTTTGTTAACAGGAAATCTGAATGTGACTGGAATATCATTATTTAAAGCACAAACCCTTGTCTTGAGTATTCGGCTCCCTAAAATGAGCTATTAAAATAGCCTTTTAGGGAGGCTTAAATAATTTCAAACTGCTGCTGGACAAATCATAAAGTTTAGGAATTAATTGATCCGTTGGCAGCACTTAGAACAAATTGCTCCTGCAGTGTTAGTAGCTGAGACAGAGTGTTAGCTTGAATCTCAGGTTGGTGCATGTTCAGGGGAGAGGAGCTCTTACTCTTGGATAGTTAGATAATTAGATACTAAGACATCTTCATACATCTTAGAAACTTTACCCCCCCCATTATTCTTTTCAAAATAGCTCTAAATTTCCTTGAGTGATTTAGTAAATCCTTTATTATGAGAAGGATGATGTTTAAAACCAATCATTAACAAACAGGAATTTTGGAAGAACTTTGATCGGATTGAAGATTTGGTGACACAGTTTATTTTATTTAAGCCCCGTGAGTACTATTACAATTGACAGTATGAACTTAACATTCTGTGGCGTGACATTACGTGACACCAGCTACCATACCTATTTCCTCAGGCTGAAATAATATTTGTAAGTCAGTGGAGGAGGCAGATGTGAGGTAAAGTAGAGCTGTGAGGGAAACCCTGGTTGACACAAAGCCTCCACATCGTGGTGGTCTACCCAGCGGTTCTTCGAGTGTGGTTTGGAAAGCCCACTGGTTGGCCACGAGGGTCTCCTCCAGATTTTTGTGGGCTAGATCTCTTAGGGTAAGGGGTGATGTTTTATGCTTTGGTATATTCCCTAATAGTAATAATAGTAAAAATAAGGTGCCATGTATAGTGCGTTTGCTTGTGCTAGATACTTTGTTAAGCATGTTGTAACACTTTTTTCTCACTTAACACTCTGGACCAGACCTGAAAGGTAGGTCATGGCCTTAGTAAAGCTGAGGAAACGGAGGCTCCACAAGGTTAAATAGGTTGCCCAAGATCACACAGCCAGTGAGAAAGAGAGTCTGTGACCAACCTTGTATTCTTTTGCACTTCACACCTATGTTTTGGGCATATGTTTAGCTCCGTTTACGGTGGACACACAGGCAGAGAGTTTTGTCAGTGACCCGTGGATTGAACCAGTGAGACACCCGGGGGGCTTGGCTCGTGCACATAGGGCAGATAGGAAAGCCTCATAAATGGACTATTGCAGTTACAAGCACCTTCACAGATAATTGCATTTAATTCCTACTAGCTACCTATCCCCATCTGAAATAAGAGCAAACTGACACTAACAGAGTTTTAGAACTTGCTACACAGTTACGTAGGAGAGATGGGATTGTAGCTGAGGTCTGGCTGGCTCTAGGCTTAGTATTGTCGTTTTCAAACTGGAAAGTTCAGGAAGTGAAGGAGAAAGATGCACGTTGTTACAGAACTACAGACTTCAGGGGGAACCCATCCTTCTGCAAGTTCGTGAGTACTCAGTGTCCTTGGCCGTTCGCTGTAAAAAGGGCACGAGCTGAGATAAGGTCGGTTGGCCTTGTTTTAGTCCAGTTACGGTAAAGGTTGTGCTATAAAGGATTTAATGAAGCACATGGCCAAAAGATGACTTGGACTCTGAATGCCAAGTGGATTTGTGTGCCCCCTCCCCTGTTGCCCACACACAGTGGCAGTGTCTCTTTCTTCCCCCTTTCACTTTGCAAAGTATGCCAGGTCGCAGCCCCTGTCCCCTCTTCTCCTTGCTCTGCCTGGGTGGCTCTAGTTGATGTGCTGGCCTCTGTCATCTGGCCATTCCCGGGTTTGGTCCTCTTGAGCAGATGGCCTTGGCCTTGGCCTTGCCCTTCCACGTTGATCCACCAGAAACTGCCTCATTTTTCAGGGGAAAGTTGGGAACCTGGCGTAGTGGGCCAGCCTCTATGAGTCAGGAAATGAGGATGTGAGAAATGGAGCCTGGGGAGAATGAATTGGGATTCTTAGCTTTCTGCAGAGGGTGGTCTCTCGTGGGTGTTCCTGTGCCAGAGAGTGGGGGCGGGGGGGGGGTAGGGTGCCTCTGAATGGGGGAGGCCTTCCTGGAAAACCTGAGGCCCGAGCCTAAAGAAGCAACTTTGCTTCCTTCACCAGCTAGAGTCTTCATTATTATTATTCCTCCTCACCATGGTTATTAATGGTGAGCTTACTAATAGATACTTTGCACCAGGCATTTAATTTACTCCTCAAATGGACAGCACTGAGATTCTCTGTCCACAGCCCATGCTGGTTTTGCTCTACCAGGTCCCTCAGTGACCGGCAGAGGCCAGAGCCCGGGTGTCCCCGCGGCTCCTCTGCCGAACGGGGACTTGGGTCTCTGCGGTCTCAGGGTGGCGGCACACACCGCTCTGGAGCGCGCCCGCCCCCTTTCCCTGTGGAGCGAAGCCTGTGAAGCGCTGTCCTTGGAATGTCCGCTGGTGAAATCACGGTGTGTCGTGTCGCACCTTTTAATCAACCACATTTTATCCAGGGAGAGTGGGGAGCTTTTTTGTGGTTTGCAAACTTGATATTAACATTGTCCTGACCAGAGAATGCTGAAACTTGCCCACCCACCCAGTTGTGTTTAGGCTTCTAAAAATAATATCCCTACATACTCAGACATCTGTTTTCACTCTATTGCCAATTTAAATGCCGCTGTATACTCTGTGTATCATGGCTACTTTCCCAGTATTTTGAAAATTTGCACAGGGTAAGGGGATTTTACAGGTTCTCAAAAACACGAAGTGTTCCTCCACAGTAGCCACGCTGCACGGCATCCAAGCAAGACGCAGGTATCTGCGTCATTGGGGAGTGCGCCTGCGGGCCGCCCGCCTGCGGGGCCGCCTGCCGGCGGCAGAAGCGGGGCCAGGAGCCCGACTGCCTGCGAGGGCGGGCCCCTTCCTGGGCGGGGCCGCGGCCGGGGCGGGGCCGCCAGCGTGGAACGCCGGTTTCTGCGGGCCCGAGCCTGCCCCTTTTGGCCAGTGTTCTGCCCAGACCGAGGCGAGAGTCACTGAGTCACTGCTGCCGTTTGTAGGCACTGGGGTGAGCGCTCACCTGCGCGTCTCATTCGATCCTCTCAGCGGTTGTGAGGAAGCAGACGCGACTTCCTCCCGTTTTCCCCGCGTCGCCTGCCAACGCTGCCGACGGACCTGGCTGTTTCCTGCCGCAGTGGGCTGCCTTCCCTTTGTAAGGGTCTGGTTTTCCTAAAAAAGACCCGGCTTCTAAGCATTCTAGGAAGAGTTGAGGTCCTCAAACCAGGCGGCACGCGGTGTTTGGGGCGGATGCAGTCCGCGGAAGTGCTGCTCGCGCGCGGGCGGCCTTGGGAGCGGAGAGGGGGAGCTCGGGTAGCCGGGGTGGTGCGCAGCTGAGCGCGCCCCCGCCTGACCCGCGTTCGTGTGACTTTCCTGGCGGTTTGAAACAGCCTACACTTGTTTGGGGATTAAGGAACCTAATAATTTTTGAAACAGCCCTGAGTGGGACGTCTTACAATGATCCTTCAAGGGTTATTCGGGAAACTTTTTCTTCTAAAATTCCGATATGTGTATTAGAGATCAGGCTCATTCTAAGTGCTGAGATGCCCAAGCCACTTTTTAACTCCCACCCGACTTAGAAGGAAAGGCTGTCGCCCCGCAGAGCCTGGGAGAGACGCTGGCTCCTGGCTCCCCTCGGGGCGGGGGCTGTGGGTCGCGAGTAGGGCGCAGCCTTGCGTGCTGGCGGCGCCCCTGCCCGGGTGTCCGCCGACCTCCTGCCTTGGTCCCGCTCCTCTGCCGAATGGCCGTGGGTACAGGGAAGGGTAACCAGGGCGCCAGGTCCAGAACCACTGTGATCAGAGGGAGAGCAGAACATGTGGGAGATTCTTTCTGGCATGAGGAGCCCTCTACTCCCTCTTAAAAAAAAATTTTTTTTAACTCCCATGTGATGGTAAATGTGCCTTTTCTGTTCATTGGAATATAGACTAACAGAGCTAGTTACCGATATAATAATATTATAAAAATGTGGATGTTTTAAAACTAAGAACAGGTGTATAACACCTAGTGTGTGAGATGGAGACAGACAGACAGACACGTTACCTAGTCCCTTTTGGGGCACTCTGGGGTCTGTGGAGGCACGGCTTCCGCAGCGCCGCGGGGCCCCAGGAGGTGCGGCCTGCATGTCGGCGGCCATCGCTGGGGGTCCTGGCCACGAGTAAGCCTTGCTACCAGTACTCCTGCCTCCCAGGCCAGCATTTCCCTGGATGCCGTAGCATGCCGAGTGTCTCAGCCTTCTCTGAAAATGCCTCCTTCTCTGATTCCAAGCACTGAGTTCAGTTTAAGAAGTTCTTTATTCTCCAGGCCCCTTTTTTAAAAAGTTGCTTATACAGACAGAACGCTGCCGGCCTTGAGAGCGCTGGCAGAGGTGGCGGGTGTAGCTCGGTTCGGGCGTGGGCGCTTAGGTTTGACACTTTGCAAACCCACTGGCGGTGATGCTGCTGGCTCAGAAGCTCTGACCCGGCAGCAGGTGGGCAGGTGAGTGTGCCTGGCTTCTTCCGCCTCCATGGCACCTCCTTGTGCCTCCTGGGCCCAGGAAATAGGCGATCACCATCTCTCAAGGCTGCCAGTGGGCAGGGATTGGATTTCCAGTCTCCTGTGCTAAGGACCGAGGCCACAAATGCTAAAACATTTTCCTTTTTAGGGGTATGTGTATCAATATCTCCAGTCTTCCATTTTCTTTTCTGTAAAATGAGGTCAGTAAATCAGCTTCAGAGTTGTGATGCTTAAATTAGCTGTAAAATATATAAGCACATAGCGTTTATGAAAGCAGGGTAGTACCTAGCACATAACGTTCAGTGCGTTTTAACATGTGAGAGCGTGCAGAAGTGCACTGCCTTCAAGCTGTGAGGAAGTGTACTTTGTTAGATGTCAGCAGAGGCAGTAGTTTAGTACTTATCGTGCATGAAGATGAGAACTAGCTCCTTTCTTCAGCAAAGCAACTAATTACGCTTTTAGCTACTCAGATAATTAACTACTGAGAGCTAATCTTTTAAACTATATCCTGAATTCAGGTATAACCAGTTATTCTGGTCCCCAATTGTCAAGGATCAGGACTTTACACTTTGGTTGATCTTAGTAGAGACTTGGTTATCTTTTGATCCTGAAAACCCCCTCTACCCACTCCCAAAGGTCGGGGCTCCGGGCTCTGGGCGCGGCCCACTTCCGCGCCCGGGCGAGCCGCCGAGTGTCTGTCTCCTTGAGTCCCGCATCCCTGAGTTTTTAATCACTCATTTGGCACTTATATTTTACCTGACATTTTTACTGGTCTTCATGTATTCTGTGTTCACTGCCTCAATAACTAAGACTGTATTTCTTTATAGAGACGTTGCATAGCTTAGTGGGAAAAGCATGGATTCAGAGTCAGGAGGAGCTGGATGTGACTTCCAGCTCAGCCAATTATTAGTTTTGTGGGCTCAGGCAAATTAAACTCCTTCCTTGTTTGAAAAAGGGAAATAATAAGAATTTCCTTCCAAGGTCAATGTGTGGATCATTTAACCAAATAAACGTGTTTGGAGCGTGTCCGCTTCCAGACGGGAGCGGTGCGTCCCCTGGAAACAGGCAGTGCGCTTCCCGCCGATCGCGTAATCCCCAGGGCCCAGCGTCCAGTAGCCGGGCTGCACTGGCACATCGGGAAGTGTTGCAGGAGCCATGAAAGCCTGGGAACCCGGGGCTGAACGGTGCCGCTCGTATTCCAAGGAGCTTCAGTCTGGTGGACGATCAGAACGGATCCCCAGTGCATTTTTTTCTGTAGTAGTTAGCCTGTACTAGTTGTTCAGTATCTTTTCTCAGTGATCAAGACAATACTTTGGATGGATACACAGATTCACAGTGTAGGCTTAATGTTGGGGGCGGGGGCTTCCACCAAATATTTTAATTGGTATTAGAGAGTGACCCAATGAGTTACTATTTATTTGTATATTTTGGATGCAAATGGCATTCTTGAAACAAACTGACTTCTGTCTAGGCTGTTCTTTTTCAAATCCAACCCGAACTCGTTGGAAACCCTGTGATAGCTGCCAGAAAGGCAGGGAATGTTTGAGAGAAAAACATTGTCGGGCTAATGTCTCACCTGCAAAAGAGCACGATTGCTACTCACAGGCAGCCGCGCAAACCAAGACGGGCTCTGGGCGGCATGCTGCTCTGGAAGCAGTGCCAGAGCCTGCAGCCTAACGGACCAGTTGGTTCACAGGAACTCATCTGTTGCCTCCTTCCCCCCCCAGACGATAGAGTCTAACTGGCGGTGTGGACGACACAACTTGCAGAGGATTCAGTGTCGCTCCGAAAATAGCAAAGGTGTCTACTGCCTGCAGTACGACGACGAGAAGATTATCAGCGGGCTACGGGATAATTCTATCAAGGTGAACAACTCTTTTGTATGTATTCTCTTTAGAATTGTGGTTACGTGTTAGACGCTAGATGTGACAGATCTCTTCACTTACTCCAGATTGTTCTGTCTGTCGCACCCAGGGTGGGCAGCTCCCCCTGTGGTTCTGCAGACCTAGGGGCAGAGCGCTCTCCTTCGCCGACCCTGGACCCCTGGCTTGTCTCACTTCTTACCCTTCCCTGAGCACAGGGACGTTTCATATTCCGTATTAAGGGCACGCAGAAAGCAGTGTCTCAGTGGGCTCTTGATTACTTTGCTGGTGAAAGTGTTGCTAATTTGCCTGTAAATCAAAGTCATTACCTTTTAGGGTTCCTTTTAGGGTCAGATAATAACGCAGAAGAATGATAGAGCCATTTAGACTGCTTTTCAATAGTAGATAAACTAGATTATTTCTGTGTTTAATGTTTGGCAGCTGATCTGACAGATTGTGTTTTACATTGTTTATAGCTTATTTTCTCATTTAAGAAAACAGTGTAGGGTGGTTGTTTCTGTTTTTTTCTTTTTCTTAAGTTACACACATGGAAAAATTTCCTCGTTTTGGCAAAAAGCTCTCTTGAGTTTTAACAAGCACAAACGATTGTGTAACTGTGACAGCATTCAAGAGGCAGAAGGGTTTGGTTGTCCCCGAAAGTCCCCTGGCTCCGCCCCTTTGTGTTCAGCACCTCCCGCCCTTCCCCCAGGCACTGGCCACCACTGACCTTTCTTTCTGTCCCTGTCCTTTTGCCCTTTTGAGAATGCTCCATAAGTGGGCTCCCGTAGTGTGCAACCTTTTGAGTCTGGCCTCTTCTAATTAGCATAGCCCCCCTGAGTTTCATCTGTGTTGTTGCATTTAGCGATAGTTGATGCTTTTTTATTGCTGGACAGTAGTCCCTTCTATGGGTATCCACAATGTGCTTATCCATTTAGCGGTTGAAGGACATTTGTGTTTTTTGTTTTTCACAATTATGAATAAAGTCACTGTAAATTTGTATGCACGTTTTTGGGAGAGCATAAGTTTTCAGTTCATTTGAGTAAAAACCTAGGAGTAAGATTATTGACTCATATGGTAAGTGTTATGTTTTAATTTGCTAAGAAACTGCTGTCTTCCAAAACGGCAGTACCATTTTTACGTTCCCTTCTGCAAGGTATAAAAGTTCCTTGTGTTCCACCTCCTTGTCCGGCCATGGTGTTATCATTTTGGTTTTTTATATCAGCCATTCTAATAGGTATGGAGATGCGCCTTGTTTTATTTCCACAAGCACTGATGATAACGTGCAACTTTTCACTTATTGGTGCCTGTTTACCATCCATAGATTCCTTGGTAAAGTTTCTGTTCAGATCTTTTGTCTATTTTTCAGATCGTTTTTTTAGTTTCATATTGTTTGGAGAATTTATATATTCTGCATGCAAGTCCTTTGTTAAGTATATTTTGCAAATACTTGCTTCCAATCAGGGACTTGTCTTTTCATTTTAATAGTACATTTTAATTTTGATGAAATCAAGTCTCAGTTTTTTTTCTTTAATCATGCTTTTAATGTTATCGCTGAGAAGGCTTTTGCTGAGCTTTTTGAATCGGTCAATGTGTATCTTTCAGTCACCAAATTTCAGAAGTTTTCAGTTCTTACTTTTTCAGATAGTTCCTCTTCACCAGTAGGGTCTGTTTCTTTGCCGAGGACGTCTCTTCGTTCACATCAGCCACAGTGATCTGTGCTTCCGGGAGGAGTTACAGCAGCTGCTGTGACGTCGGTGACACCTGGCTCATCTCCAGCTGGTTGTGTGTTGTTGGTTGTCTCCTCCCCTGAGAACCGGTCTTCCTGGTGTTCAGCGATTTCAGATTCTCTTGTCATTATGGTTGTTACAGTAAAGACTAAGGGTCCTGTCATTGTTGTAACCCTCCAGAGAAAACGTGTGGTGTGTTTTGAAGCAGGGGATTTCTCTAGTTAGGCTCAGAACCAAGTTCTGTTGTGACTTCAGCAGAGGGCGCTGGGGTGGGGTGGGGGTTAGAACGTGGAGAGGGACTCTGATCGCTTTTGCTTCTCAGGGCCTTTGTCACCTAGTTTGGGTCTGTCTAGGGCTTGCGCTGCCCTGCTTGGCCGGAGACGTCAGCAGCGGTCTAAGCGTCAGCTTGCTTTTTGTAGCCTTTGCTACGCTGGCTCCGTCTGTCCGGTGCCGCAGTCCCGCGTTGTGTGGGTCTTCATGAAGAATTAAGGGGTCCTTTTTCTCCAGGTCTTCTCTCTTTTAGATTTTCGTATGTCTCTCCTGCCCTCGGGAATCCTTTTTTACCTTTTTCTCTGGCCAGGAGAATGGAGTTTCTCTTAGAATTTAGTCATCTGTGCCACCGCTCTGTGGTGCATCTGCATGACTGGGACCTGTCCTTGAATCTGAGCTGTGTGAGGAAAGAGGGGGACATGGGGTCCTCCACACATTCTTTGGCCCCCAGGGACCCCTTTCTCTGGCCCTTCTGTCCGGAGGAGCAGTTTCCCTCAGAACTTCGACCCCTCTGCTGCTGGCTGGCTGTGCGGTGCCCTGGCCCAGGCTCACCTCTGGGTCAGAGTCACGGCAGGCGGAGGTGCGGGACCAGGAGAACTGTCCATCCACCGTGCGCCCGCCTGGGCGGGCGCGCGGCCCCCTGCTCCCTCCCTCCTGCCCCTCCCCTCGTCCTCAGCCAGTGGCTTTTGTGTTTTTTTCTCTCAAGTTTTTTCATGATAATCAACTGGGAAGATCATCTGTAGTACTTTCTCCCTCTTGGCCCTGTTTTCTGTATTGTTTTACTTTGGGTGAGTTAAAGCATCTTTTTTGTTTTTTGTTTTTTTATATATGGAGAGTATATAAAGTAATAGGGAATTACAGTAAATCAGATAGCTTAGGGCAGAAAGATCTCTGAATTAAAGCATATAAAGAAACTGTTTCTCTGGTTTTCTCTGTTTGGCAATGGATGTGAATCTAACGAATGTTCATTTTAAGGGTGATTCCCTTCAAAGAAGTGTAGAAAACACGCCCTATCTCCTTAGACATTCACAGGATACAGGATAAAAAGGCTCGGAGGAGATCTGCAGCAGAAAAGCCTAGTGTTTCCCAACTTCCCAGATGTGTTTGGCGGCAGAACTGTTTTTATGTTACAGTTACTGATTGCCCTAACGCGTGGCTACATGTGTGCTCTAGGAAGGGGGCATATCCTGCCATTTAGTTTGGCAATTCTCCTTTAAGAAATAGATAAGAATGGTTTATAGGGACCTTGTCAGACTGTAGGCTGGCCATGGGCTTGCATTTCATTTGCACTGGATGTGTTTCTGAAGAGTTCTCTTTAGAGAGGCACACCCACGTTTAAATTTAGCTTACACTTGATTTATAAGACACAGAATGGTAGAGCAGACACGCACTCCGGAGAGAGCATCCAAGGTTTCTAGATCCAGCTGTCGTTCCAGGCATTGGAAACGTTTGGTACTTTATTGTGCATTAGTCCTTGATCACTAATCGGTTCTTCAAAGTCACTGTGGTTCTGCTAGGTCAGAAATTAAAAGCAAGCCTTGCTATGTTATTGAAAGTCACTTAAATGCCTAGAGCACTCGGCAGTATGTTGGCCATTTGCAGGAAATGTTAGGGACACTGCAAATTATGATATTATTTTACAAGGGAAGAAACAGGTCCACAGAATTTTTTTTTTTTTTAACCAAAAGAAGTGAGAAAAAGAGCACTCAGACTACAAAATCAGCAATTGTTAACATTTTACTTCCTTTTAATATTTTTCTTTAAAATTTACATAGTGGTTATGTCATTATAGACAATTTTTATTTTGATTTTTAAAAAACACATCTCTGTAATAAAATACTGTATTTTGTCATTAAAAACTTCATAGTTTATGTTGAATTTTTTCCCTGAAATGTTGAACATTTTTGTAAACAAACATACGGGGTTCAGGGTATGCATTTTTAAAGGCTCTGAATAGATACTGTCACATTGTTTTCCAGAAGGCAAGCCAACTCTTTTCATAGAGTTTAATTTTAAATTCCCCTTATAAGGCTGTTAAGTGTGAGTCCAGTAAACAAAATGGTACATCTGTCCTGAAAGTTATTCAGTGTTGCCTCTTCCCTTCTTGTCATTTCCCACCTGTGTGATGTTTAATTCTCTTATTTACTATAACAGGTTTGTTTTATTTTGTGATTCAGGAAATAAGGTGAGACAGAAACATTGATCAGAACATGATGTGCTAACTCGCTGTTTGTGGTTGGTCTTGTCTCAATAGATTTGGGATAAAACCAGCTTGGAATGTTTGAAGGTGTTAACGGGGCACACGGGCTCTGTCCTTTGTCTCCAGTATGACGAGCGCGTCATTGTGACCGGCTCTTCAGACTCTACAGTGAGGTGAGTGATTTGGCTTCATGGTCTGAACTTGCGGCCCTTCCTTGAGGAGGCGAGATGCGCGCCGTCCTCTCTGTGTGTGGGTTCTGTGCGCTGTGTTTCAGACCCACCTCAGGTGTGGGTGTAGGCGCATTTGAGCTAAGTAGGTAGGAGAGCTAACCTTCCTCACCTAGGTCCTATTCCCCTGGCCGTGTAGTGCAGAGACGGCCACGGGCTTTCCTCCGAAGGCGCAGGGCCTGGTACCGGCCGGCTCCCTCCCGCTGGGAGCCCGCGCTCCAGAGCGGAGGGGAAGGTTCTGCAGGGAGGTGTGCCGGGCAGTCACCTGCACATAGAGAGGAATCAGGGGCTATTGTCGCAAAACCTTTTGAGGGACGGAGTGCTAGAGGTTCTGCAGAATGTCATTCTGTTGGATTCTCACACCAGCCTTTCTCAGCAGGTGGATCGTACCTTCCTTTGTATAGATGTATAAGGAAGCCGGGATCAGAAAGGCTGAGTAGTTTACTCAGAGTCACATAGTTAATTTTGTACTTTGAATTTGTGTCATTCAAGACCATCTTCATAGTATGAAGCCTTTCCAGTCACGGAGACGCAAGTGTTCAGATGCCACCCCCGAGGCGGAGGTGACACAGAAAATGGCTCTGTTCCATGGCAGAAGTGAAGCAATAACTGCTGGGTGGGAGTGGGGAGAGCAGAAGGGAAACACTGTTGGGATCACTCCCAAAATGCAGGGACAAGGACGTTGCCACCCCAGCTGGCTTTGGTTTGGGTGTGGTGAGTCCATCAGAGCCCGGGGGTCACGCAGCGAAGCTGTAGCTGGACTGCTGGGGGCTGGGGAAAGCATGTCATCGGAAGGGGTTGGGTTCACAGGCGCACCTAAGGGACGCAGTAGTCACTAGCCTGCCTCGTGGCCTGTCCCCAGCCCAGCGCGTTCCTGCCTCCCCTGCTGCCCATGTCCTGTCTCAGCCCGAGAAGCCCGAGTCTTCCCTCGTTGGCTCTGCAGCACCTGTGTTCCGGGGAGGCTGGGGTCACAGAGGAGCTGTGATGTGAAAGCGCCGTCCCCCAGCGCCCCGTGAGGCAGTTGGGCGAATAGTGGGTGTGGGAACTCGTGAGACACCAGGACTTTCAGTCTGTAGATTGAGAGGCCTGTCCAAGGACAAAAAGCTCTGGACTGTCCTCAGTCCTCCAGCCACCAGGCCTCCTTTCCCCTGTCATCTCAAACTCACTGCAGAGCCCACTCTTGAAGATTTTTTTTTCTTTTTCTTTTTCTTTCTTTCTTTCTTTTTTTTTTTTTTGCCATCAGCACAAGCTGGCAAACAGTCTGTGAATACCTGACTGTTAAAAAAAAAATAGCCTTGAACCTGAGTGGGCTCGGCCTGCTTTTTTGAAACACTTCTCAGCAAAAAGAGAAATTGCCCCTTTGAGGCTTGTACTTAGGTGTCAGGTCCACACCTCCCCGGGCTACTGCTAAGAGTGGGTCCAGCCATGGCTGCTGTGGCTCAGCGGGTTGAGCGCCGGCCTGCGAACCAAAGGGTCACTGGTCCAGTTCCTGGTCAGAGCACATGCCTGGGTTGCTGGCCTGGTCCCCAGGTGGGAGTGTGTGAGAGGCAAGCGATGGATGTGTGTCCTGCACATGGATGTTTCTCTCCCTCTCTTTCTCCTTCCCTTCTCTCTAACAATAAATAGATAAAAATCTTTCAAAAGAAGGTTGGGGGAGTGCCCAGTGCACAGGTGCCCCGATCTTTTCCCGGCTGTCTCAGCAGTTCAGTGTTGTGCTTCTCTGTCTTCATCTAGAGTCTGGGATGTGAACACGGGCGAAGTCCTGAACACGTTGATCCACCACAATGAGGCTGTCCTGCACTTGCGCTTCAGCAATGGACTCATGGTGACCTGTTCGAAGGACCGCTCCATCGCTGTGTGGGACATGGCTTCTGCCACCGATATCACTTTGCGCCGCGTCTTGGTTGGCCACCGTGCTGCTGTTAATGTGGTAGACTTTGATGACAAGTACATCGTGTCCGCCTCTGGGGACAGAACCATCAAGGTAAGTGTGTCTGCTTCCTCCTGTGCCTTCGGGAAGGAGAGGGAGTGGAAGCGGCTTCCGCCAGCCTGGGTCCTCTCCTCTGTGTGCGCTCAGGAGCCCTTGAAGCAACCCGCTCTCTGTGCTTCTGGAGTTACAGGCAGGGGAGAAGGAAAGGGCCTGGGGACCAGGACAGAGAGCAGTCCTGTTTCAGGAAACGACGCTGTTGGTGTCCTTGACTCGGGGAGGAGGACTAACCTGCTGAGCACATCCCGGGTGCTCGGAGCTCTTCTTCCATTACCGCCTCGCGTCCCCTCTGGGCGCTCTGTCGAGTAGGTGTGCCTCCCTTGCACAGATGTGACCCTGAGGGTGACGAGCTGCACCGGAGACCGCCCCGCTGGCTAGCGGCAGAGCTGAGACTGGACGGATTCACCTGATTTTTGAGAGCCTGCCAGCCACAGACCCTGGCCTGGGTGCTAGAGGTGTGGCGCTGAGCGGCAGGTGTCCCGCCTCCGATAAGCCCTGCCCGCGGTGGGCGGCAGATGCGCGACAGGCGGCTTTTGTGGCCGAGGGTGATCCCCAGGAGGTGGCAAATGCAGTTCTGATTATCCGTCTAATTTAAAAAATTTTTGCTTTCTTAAGTTTTATAGCAGCTTTATAATTCACATACCTTTAAGATTGATCATTTTAAACCACACGGTTCAGTGGCCCCTGGTATATTCACAATGTTGTGTGACAGTAAATAGTTCCAGAACATTTTCAGTCCCCCTCAAAAAAGCCTCATATCTGTTAGTAGTCAACCTGTTTTCTTCCCCTGTCCCTCCCTGGTAACCCCTAATCGACTTTCTGTTTGTGGGTTTGCCTGTTCTGGACATTTCATGTAGATAGAGTCGTACCACACATGACTTCTGTGTCTGGTTTCTTTCATTTAGTGTATTACTGTTTTTAAGGTCCATCCATGGACACTGTAGCACATAACAATATTTCACGTCTTCTAATGATCGAATGAGATTCAGTTGGTTGTGTGCACCACATTTTGTCTGTCTGTTCACGTTGACGGACATTTTGGTTGTTTACACTTTTATCTATTATGAATAGTGCTCCTGTAGACATTTGTGTGTGCATATATTTGGAATTCTCTTGGATGATAACTCTGTTTAACATTTTGCCAAGCTGTTTTCCAAAGTGGCCACAGCATTTTACAGTCCCACCAGCAATGGATGAATGTTGGGACTTGGCTCAGAAAAACCTTTTAGTGACAGCACTAGGCAGCATTCTAGCATGTCACCCCCCAGATCACAGGGTAGGTGGCATCAGAGTGTCGATGGGTGGTCTGGGAGCTGAACAGCTAGGATTCCTATGTGATAATTCATCCATCGCTCACCCACCCCAGTTGGTACAAGACCCGTCAGTGCCTGGAAGTCGAGAGGGTTTGGGCCTGAACCAGCGGTTGTGCAATGTCAGCCTGGAAGATTTTTCCGTGGCCTCGTCAGTGCTGGTTATTGCCCCCTCATTACAGTCATCCTAGCGGGCGTGCGGGGGTGTGTCTGTGATTTTGCTTTTCATTTCCCTAATGACTAATGATGCTGAGCATCTTTTTATGTGCTTATTGGCCATTTTTATGTGGAGAAACTCTTTTATGTGGAAAAGTCTTTTGCTCATTTAACAAATTGAATTATTTGTCATTTTATTGTTTAGTTGCAAAAGTTCTTTATGTATTCTGATAATAAGGTCCTTATCAGATAATTATTTGCAAGTATTTTCTTTCATCTGTGGGTTGTTTTCATTCCTTTTTTTTCCTTTTTTTAAAATGTTTTTACTTGATGGTTTTCTTTGAAACACAAAACAATTTTAATTTTGATGAAGTCCATTTTATCAGTTTTTTTCTCTCGTTGCTGTGTTGTCACATCTAAGGAATCTCTGCCTGATCCAGTGCCACAAAGATTTACTCCTGCGTTTTCTTCTAAGAGCTTTATAGTTGATGTTCTTACATTTCAGTCTTTGATCCATTTCGAATTAAATTTTTGTATGGAGTGTGAGGTAGGGGTTCACCTCGTTCTTTTGCATGTGGACACCTACTTAGCCCATTCAGCTGCAAGTGCCGCCAGTAAAATAATTCAAGGCACTGTGGCTGCTTTGCGTCTCCTTATTCGGCTGGTAATATATTGTGTGTCTATGAACATCTAAGTCTTGCAGATGGTTTCACAAAAGAGGGATTATTTATTCCACATTTATAATATTAGGAATGATGTGTCAGAGCAAATAGAGCTGTTCAAGAAACTGCCGAAAAGAGGAAGATGTGAAAGGTGAAGCTCGCTCACATCACTTACATTGGGTTTGACAAGTCAGCTGGTAAAAAACATAAAATCTGGCCCAGACTCTTCCCTCTGGGCAACTGACTGTCGGAACCATCCAGGAGATGTTCTCTTCGTGAAGGTCTCAGGGTTTGGAGACTTGACAGCCTCCCTCTGTATTTCACTCCAGTTTTCTCACTCAGCAGCCCAGAAAGTTTTATGCCGTCCAGCCTGTCCCCCAGCCTCCCAACCGTATCTCGTAATCAAGTAGTGTGATCATTCCTAGGAGCTCTGAATTTTTAAAAAAGGTACACCGTGCGGGGACTGCTCTGCATTCACCCTTTAAAACATCGCTCATTTGTTGCAGGTCTGGAGCACGAGCACCTGTGAATTCGTGCGCACTCTGAATGGGCACAAGCGAGGCATCGCCTGCCTCCAGTACAGGGACCGGCTGGTTGTCAGTGGATCGTCAGATAACACCATCAGGTGGGTGGGGGCGGGGCGGGCGGGCGGGCGGCTCTGCTGGCGCCACAGTTTGGCTTGCCCCCCAGTCCCAAGGCTCAAAAGGCACAATCTTTGGGGATGCTTCAGATAAGAAGACTTTAATCTGTTTGGCCCTGCCCACTCAAGTGGTGAACTCTATGGCCCTCCAGGGTCCCCCCAGGACACAGGGTTTCTCGACCTGGGCCCTGCCCGAGACCACCTGGTGCCGGAACTCTGTAGGCCCCGGGGCGCTCCAGCCTGTCTATGCTTTCCCTGATCCCCAGCCCCTGCCTGCGGCGGGCGAGGTTGGGAGGGGGGGGCCGCCACTTTGTCTCTCCCAGGATTGGGTTACAAAATCATCCACTCTGGTTTGGTCATGTATTTTAATTCCTTTTCTCTTCCCGACATTCAGTGTCCTTGCTTTCTAATCAATATAACCATCCTTAAACACTTTATATCTTATTAGAGCTTGCCTTAAATATCTGTTTAACTATCCTAAGTCATTTTTACCCTGTCCCAGTACATGCTAGTAGCTTTTTTTAAATAACCAAACTGCCTAATGTTTGGGCAAAATTAAGATTGGGCTCAAGATTATTTGAGAAAGGGAGGGAGGTACTCTAACTGCTATAAGTTTTCTTTTAAGAGATCATAAAAGTCACTTTAGTACTGGAATCTTTATTCTATTGTATTCATCATGCTTTGCATTACTCAGAGCTTCCTCGCTGGACCCTCTAGAGGCTTTACAGAATAACAACGTGTGTGGCTACACAGTTTAGATGTATGATAGGAGCTGCTGGTGGAGAGGCCAAGGAAAGTTCCTTATAGCATTAGTTTGCTAATTTTGTTTCGTGCCTGTTAGGTTGCTATGATTTCTTTTTGCAAAAAAATGTGGAAAAATCAATGATGATAGAAGAAATTTTATTTCCAGAACTGTTACATAAATTGTGTACAGAGAAAAAGGCTGGCTGTGTGTACTTAGATACTGGGTTTGTATTTCCAGGACCGTGTGTACACTTCACGGGTTCCCGCTGCGGCCTTGTGGCCTGGACAGCCCCAGGGTGCGGTCTGTGTCTGAGCAGGGGCATCCCCGGGCCTCCGCAGGGGAGGGACCACTATGCTGCTTCCAGCCTCTGTGGGCCTCGTGGGGTCCAGGCCAGAAGTGCCTGGGATGGAATTCTCTTACTTCTTGACCTTACTTAATTAGTAATATACACGTGTGATTTTTAAACTTTCAGACTATGTAAAATGAAAAGTAAGGCTCCCTCCCAAGTTAGTGCTCAACGCACAAATGGCATAAGTGTACATATTATGTGCATAGTGTGGACCAGGAGTGAGATGGAAATAAAGTTCCAGAATAGTGAGAGTCACGTAAGGACAGAGGGAAAGGACGTGTGATCCCGTGCAAGGAGTTGTCTCACAGAGATTTGTTTTTCATGCCAGGCTCTGGGACATCGAATGTGGCGCCTGTCTAAGAGTTCTAGAAGGCCATGAAGAACTGGTGCGTTGCATCCGGTTCGACAACAAGAGGATTGTCAGCGGCGCCTACGACGGGTGCGTGTGTCCCCTTGCAGGTGCCCTGCCGCAGCGAGGTCGGGGGCTGGGGGGTACTGGAGACCACGCAGCGGAGTCCGTGCCAGGTCCTGCGCTAGGCGGTTTCTCTGTGTTGATGGATGACGAACGCTATTACACCGCTTGGTCAAGTGAGGCCACTCAGGCCACACGTGCCACAGTGGCACAGCCTCTGTGGCTCCTAAACGTGTGCTTTTGACCACCGTAAACAGAGTAGCTGGGCTGTGCAGGAATTCGGTTCTCTGCCCTAGCCCTTAAACCAGGCATGGATGTTTTCCTTTCTCCAGTTCCATGATAAATTTCTTTCCCTCTTTTGGTGAATTGAACAAATCCTCTTTGACCTTCTAAATGAGCAATTGGCATCTGTAAACCTTTCGAGATGACCTTCTGTGTGCCTCACAGATGGTCACTTGGCCCGCTGACACCCGTGACTAACTTGAGACTTTGCCTGGCTGGGGAACGGCGCCCGTGGAGTGACGCAGAGAGCCCCGGCTTCCGTCGGCAGTGCCGGCCCAGCCCCAGAGAGCCCCTGATGGGTGGCTTTGGTGCTATAGGCCGGCCAGTCAGGAATTGAACCCAGATGACCTGAAGTTGTTTTCTGTCTCCCTTAGAATACTTCTTTATCATTTCAGCAAGTCTTAGAATGCGTAGGTTCTTATCTTTTTCAAAATTAAGTTTAATAGGTTTAAGAAACGTGTAAGATAAGAACACAGCATGCCCCCCCCAGCCTTTGATAATAGGCTGTTCGGATGCTCTCCTTTCTGTCAGGGGATTGCTCCGCAGCATCTGAAATGTTAACTTGTCTGCTCATCGCAATCTTGTTGCCCTTTCCAGGAAAATTAAAGTTTGGGACTTGCAAGCTGCCCTCGACCCCCGAGCCCCAGCAAGCACGTTGTGTTTGCGCACCTTGGTGGTATGTGACCTGTGGGCACGGGAGGCGGTTCCTGTGCTGGGGGTGGCTGGGGCGCACAGGCCCCCGGGTGTGTCGCCAAGGGGTCTGTGTGGTCATTTTGTTTAGCCAAAATCAGAGTCCTTGACATGTCCACTACAGTGAGCTCTTCCCTAAGGAGTATTTATACAACTTACGAAATGAAAGCAGGCTTCCTCGTTTATAGGTGGACTGATTTCCTTGTAGAGCAAAAAGTATTTCCTTCCCATAGGTGGGGGAGATTTCTTAATGTGGGTATCTGATTATGTTACCCTTTTATAACAGCACATTTCTGTACTGTTAGGGTGGAATTCCCCCATAGTCCATAATCTATGGATTATTGCTTTGACATACAGGAATACTTTATTTTTATATGTTAATCTTGCTTTCGTAACTTCACCAAGCACACCATTTCTAATAGTCTCCTTGCTTTTGTTGTATTTTTGAAGAGATAGTTGCTTGAAAATATTGGTAGATTTTTCTTCCTTTCAATAGTTAGACCTTTTATTTCTGTATTTTGGCTTCTTGCATTGACTAGAACATGCAGGACTATAGTTACAGCCATTCTTATTTTCTTGATTTTAATGGGAATGCTTCTGATAAGTCATCATTGATTTTAGTGTTGGCTGTCGTTGAAGATAGCCTTAGTCACATTCAAAACACTGTCCTGCTTCTAGTTTTTACAGCATATCAAGAATGGGTATTAAATAGTTTACCTTTCTGAGATCCTTTGTGATATGATCACATAGTTTTTCTTTGTCAGATGAATGGACCGGGATCTGGGACACAAAGTCTAATGAAAGAAAAGGCCTAGAAGGAAAAGCAGAGTATTTGTTCCTGGGGTGAAGGCCAGAGCTCAGAAGCTCTGGAAGGTTGTTGGGAAGCCTGGATGAGGAGCGGCACTGCCTGCCTGTGCCGAATCCCTGAGGGCGAGATAGGAGGGATTATGAAGGTCTCGCTATAGTCAGCCAGCTGTTATTTCCACAGGAACATTCTGGACGGGTGTTTCGGCTACAGTTTGATGAATTTCAGATCATCAGCAGCTCCCATGATGACACTATTTTGATTTGGGATTTCTTAAATGTGCCTCCCAGCGCCCAGAGCGAGACCCGCTCTCCCTCCAGAACGTACACGTACATCTCCAGATAACAGTCTGCACTTTACCCGTCTCAGGTGAGTGCGGCCCACGTGGGGTTTCGCTGTCGGAGGTCACCTTCCGTGGGGGCCTTTGTGGGTGGGCTTCTGCCTCGGCGGTGGGAACCCAGGGGGCTCATCTTTATCAGATGCCTCTAGATCTTTATGGTCTCGTTGAAATGAGGTCTGTGTCAGAATCCTGCGTGTTGTTGGTTTTTGTAATGACAGGCAAGTTAGTTCCCATTTTTAAAAACTGTTTTTAAATGATTTCTCCTGTCATACCAACAACACCAGTAAAGTCCTCTGTGTTGGGGTGTAAGAATCTCCTTTTTCTTTCCTGTCCTTCAGTTCTGTCCTTAATTTAAAAAAAAAAACAACAAAAAACCCCACCATCAACCAACATTCAGAAGTGCCTGCTCTGCCATCGCAGCGCCCCCGGCAAGCCCTGTTCCCTGGCAGAGGCCTCAGAGACGAGTGTGTGTTGAGAGAGCTCCTAAAACTCCCTCCTCGTCTACTGGACACTGCAGATGCTCTGCAAGCCAAGCCCTCTGCTCTGTCTGCAGGGAGACTTAGGGGGCATGGATGGTGGCACATTCTGCCAGCTAAGGGCGTCCAGCCTCGAGCACAAGTAACCTTGCTTGGCTGTGCCCTAGGACCAGACGACCTGTCTATTTGGAGTCTATCCCCAACTCTGAGAATTTGCGAGTGAGCCAGTGAATTCTGTGTATATTAAACTTTGTAAATGGAAGGTACCTAATTGTAGTACTATGTATGTACGTATGTGTGTATCTATGTAAAGACTGAGTAATAAAATTCATTTTTATTGAAAAGCATTACTTAATGCTTAGTAGCTTTTTATCATTATATGTGTTCCTGTTCACCAACTACATAAAACATAAGGAAAGTCAAAGTGCAGAACCGTGAACTTTTTTGATGAGAAGGTAGGGAAACCACCTCCTGATTTTCCCCTGCCACAGAAAGCTGAGTAGTTTTTTTATACTCTTGATACTTGAAAAAATTAAAAGAATATTTCGTGACACGTGAAAATTGTAGGCAGCTAAAATTCCAGTGCCCATAAATCAAGTTTTATGGGAACACAGCCATGCCCATTTGTTCTTGTATTATCTGTCGCTGTTTTCACACTTCAGGGGCAGAGCACTTTCAACAGAGACCATATGGCCCGGGCCATCTTAAATGTTTATCTGGCCCTTTAAGAAAACGTTCGCTGACCTCTGGTCTTGCCCCCGTTCCATCTCTTAGTGATAAACCAAGGGTTCTGCAGCCGGAATGGTGGATTCGTTTTTTCTTTATGACAACTCAGTTTGATCAGTAATGACTGGCTGGGGTGCTTCCTTTGGAAGGAATTGGGGCCCCATGTGGACCCAGAATGAGTAAGAGCCATGATGTGTTGGTTCTGTCTACCTGGGTGTGGGAGGTGAGCCACACTGTGACCGATAGGTCACTACGTAATTGCTCTTCCTGGTCTCGTGTGTTCATACTGTGTCTTATGGTGGTGACTATCTCCCTTGCTGCTTTCTCTCTGGATAAATTCTTAGGTCAGTTGGAAAACCCCTGTGGCAGGATTTTTACATTTATTGAGTGTAGTATTAAAATAGACATTGTAGGGAGTTACAGAAGAAGGCGGCAAGAATCTCTTGAATGATTGCTCCTCCCTGTCTCAACCTCCCTTCCCAAAAAGCTTAAGAAAACAGAGGGAAGGGGGAAGGGGCCCCGATGAGAGCTGGGCTCCTCCGGGTCTCTCCGCCCCCCTCAGCCCACCTCCCGTCCTGCACCAGCAGGGTCGCCTCCGCCTGCCTCGGCTGGCCTCTGCCTCGCTGCACTCTGCTGTCCGCAGCCCCGGGGCTACGCGTCACTTACCCGACGGGGTTCAGCATCGACCTCTTCCCCCCTGTGCCTCCTGCCAGCTAGCCTCCTTGCCGGTTACTCCTTCCCCAGGCCCGGGGCTCCCGCCAGACGGGCGCTGTAGAATTTCTCCCCTTACAGCTGGGCAGCGCAGACCTCCACCACCTCCCCGCACCCCACCCCGGCTTGTGGTGCACCTGCTGGGCAGGCGCGCCCAGTGCTCCGCTGCCCCCTCTCCTTCCTTGGGCTTAGTTTAGGGGTTGGTGCTGAAACGGTCTGCAGGCCTGTTCCCCTCACCAGGCCGTGGAACTCCTGTTTGTGTCCAGTGGAGCACATGCTGTGGGCCAGGCGCTCGTGGGTGTTCGTTCGGCAGGCGGCACTCGGGGCCGCAGGACACATCTGCGCCCTTTCTTGTGGGGCCCCCAGGAACGTGTCCGTTAAGAAGCGTGTGTGGCACTCCAGCGCCTTCATGTAGCTGCTTCAGCAAACGTGAAGATGGCTCAGTAAGACATTGGAACCAGTCGTCCAAACTGGCAGAGTCCGCTGCCGGCTGGCTGTCTTCCTTCCATAGGCAGGTGCCCAGATGTGCACACCTCCCTGCCCCTTTGCCTTCACTAAGCCTCTCTAGTGGGTTTCTTAATCAATTAATTGAGGCGTGATTTGTGTAAAATAGATTGTCTCGATTTAAAGTGTACTGTTTGATAAGTTTTTACAAATGTATACATCCCTGCGACTGCCTCACAGTCAAGGCGAAAACATCTCTATCACCCCAGAAAGTTCCCTTGTGTCGCCAAGCGCACCCCCACCCCGGCCTTGGCAAGCCCCGCCCTCCGCCGCGAGGTTAGTTTCCGTTTTGCAGAGCCACACGGAGCCCTGCGACATAGTCAGCCACCACCAGGGGCTCTGGGGTCTCAAAATGCAGCCAGTGCAACTTAGGAACTGAATTTTTTATTATATTTTCATTGAAATTAATTCGATTTTAATTGTATTTAATTATATTTTATTTAAACATATTAAACATTTAATTTTTCTAATGGCCTCTTCTGGACCAGTGTAGTTACAAGTTTTATGTTTTTAGCTTTTACATTTAGGCCTCTGCTCCATTTGGAGTTAACTTGTGTGTATAGCGTGAAGTAAGAACAGCAAAGCCCTTGTTTTTATGCAGTTAGCTAGTTGTTCCAGCACCATTTGATTAAAAGACTTTCCTGTTCCCATTGAATTGCTTTGGCACCTTGGTCAAAAAATCAGTTGTTTACTTATTTGTACTCCTGTTTCTGGACTCTCTTCTGCTGTGTGGCTCTGTGGCTGTCCTTCCGCCAGTACCATATTATATAATAAATCTTTCAACTTTAAAAAAAATACTTTGTAACTACTCTAGGTCCTTTAGGTTTTCACATTCAGTTTGGAATTCGCTTGTCAGAGTCCGCGCAGGCGACTGCTGGGGCCAGGAGCAGGGCCGCGCGGCCTCTGAGAGTCCGTCGGGGGGAGAATTTTCCTCTGAACACTTGTTGCGTCCTCCCGCCCATAAACATGGCCTGTCTCTGTTAGTTAGGTCGTCTTCGCCTTCTTGGAGGCGGTGTTTTGCACGCTTTTTCTGGAAGTCTCACACACCTTCTGTTAAATTTATTCCATTCTTCATTTTTTCTTTTATGAGCTGTGCATTTCCTTCTGTGCGTCGCTTTAGCCGACCGGCCACTGCTCACGCTTCCCCCCGCGGGCAGCACGTCAGGCGGAAGGTGGACAAGCAGAGCTACAGCCGGACCACTGGGCAGCGAGGCTCGGGCGCGTCGGGGGTGCTGTGGGCGGCCTCGGCGCCCCCGCCGCGTGGTGGATGCGTGTCGAAAGAGGCACGGGATAGGGTTCAAGGCTTCCCCAGTGTGTCCGTCGCCCAGCACGTGTAATGGGTGAATTGCAGCAGGTAGCGAATGTTCCTAAGTCAGACGCACCTTGTCTATGGCAGGTAAAGGGGCCCTGCAGCCGGGCCCTGCGGCCGGGGGATGAAGCGGGGACCCGCAGTGCGCTTTCTGCCCTTGGCCGCATGGGAAGGAAGTTGGTGGCACTTCTTCCAGGCCCTGCTCCCGGGCCCTCTTCGGGAGCCTAGGAACGACGGCCTGGTTCTGATCCACAATTATAAACCAATGGAAAAATCTTATCTGCTTTTTAAGCAGCACAAGCAACGAAACCTCAAATGTGTTTGTCTCTTCAAAGTAAATTACTTTTGACAACGTTGGCAGTCAACTTCATGGTTTTTATTGCTCTTTTCCAAATTCTTTTCATTTATTGTAACATGAAAAAAATTATTACCATGTGATACTGTAAGATTTATGCATCATAAGAAACACTACCCTAATGATGATTTAACCTTGCAGTAAAATACTCGCCCCTGAAATATTAGGTAAGAGCACTGCTATGTCAGAAAGCCCCGCAATAGATTTATTTGCCAAGTCATTTTTAAAAATTACTAGTTCTTAAGAGCTATAGATACAGTAGTTCCCATTTCTCTTATAGCAAGACAATATAAGATCATTTAGGAAATTAGGGGAAAAAACAGATAAGCCAAAAGAAGGAAATAAAATTCTATTCAAGGTTCACTATTGTTAACTCTGCTATATGTATCCTTTCAGACTTTTAAAAATATGGTTGATAACCACACATTTTTAAATGCTTTTTTTCTCTTTGTTGTGAAATGGTTGCATGTCAGTAGTGGCAGTGTTTGCCTAAATTATCATTCTTAATTGCAAAATAAAATTTGATTGTTAGGATGTATCCTGTTGTTAGATATTTGGTGCCCCTCTCCCCAGCTTTTAGCTGTTATAAAACACATTACTGATTTTTTTTAAACTTAATCTCTGCCCAACCTTTTTTACCTTTGGATAGAACTTCTGGAAATATCTTGAGTTCCCGGGTTAAAAGATAAGACATGAAAACGCTTTTGATACGTAGAGTCACGTTGTCCTCGGTTTTCCTTCGCACCAGCAGCGTTTGAGTGGGCCTGCTGCTTGGCGCTGGGTGTTCATCTAAAAACGTTCAGGCACTCTTAAATACCGTTCATGGGAAAACAGTGGCAAATGAAATGGAATCTTTCTTGGACTCATTGAGAAAGCTTATTTGAATTCTTGATATTTATGAAAATTGACAGCCTTTTAGGAAAGTTTCCCTTTAAAAAATCAGTCTCCTCCTCCCCAACAGAATGTCAGGCCTCTGACTTTTAGATCTTCTCGACCAGTGGTTTAGTGCGGTATTTGGAAAGGGTCGTGACGCATTCGTGATTATGAAACCGTTTTAATGGAATTTGACTTGGGTGAAATTTTGAAGAGAAAACGCCAGCCTGCCTTGTAATGCCCGGCAAGGATGAGCCTTGTTTCCTGGCTGTCCTGTGGCGGGGGAGGGTGGGGCATGTGCGTTGCATTTACACACACGGGTGAAGGCCAAGGCTCTGATTGAAATGGGTTACCTGACTCAAAGTCACGGTTAAAAATACGGACCCTTCAGTAGTCTTTTCCTCTATACTGTTGTCCTTTTACTAGTGACTTACTGCAGTTTCTGACAATGAGCGTTCTATTTAGCACAGTGACTTTATTCCCTAGCTTTGCACATTTTTTTCACAGTGATAGATGGCGCCTTCAGGAGGGTAGGAGGCAGGCCCGTGTAGGCCGTGGATGTCATAAAAGGTTATGCTAAATAGGAAGTCTGACATGGAGCATATTTTGTTATAGGTGTACTTTCTAGCAACAGCACTGAGAGATGATAGGCTATAGGCTCAGGCGTTGCCCTGAATCCTCTCTCTTAACGACTGATAAATTGAACTGAGCCACAGGGATCTCAGTTGTGATGTGGTTATAACAGTTTCTACCTGACAAGGTGTTTGTGCGGTTTAAATGAGTAAGATACCTGGTATGTAGTACACAGAAAACAGCTTGCAGCTTCTCTTTTTGGTGTTACTTGAAAATCAGTAACATGTTACGTGTGTACAAGTATGTGTCTGCGGATGGGTTGAGGTGCGCTCCGTGGCTAACCAGTGTGGCCATCCTTACTCACATTGGGTTTGTTTTTGTTTTTTTCCCAGGGTTTCTTCCTCTTGAACTACTGGCAACATGGCTACCAAATGCCTAAGGGAGTTCTTCACAGCTGAGTTACGAAGCTGGAATTGGTTCTAGACGCTGGGTAGATGCAAAGCAGCCTAACTCTTCAAGCACCGACCTCCCCACCTCCGATTCCGGCCTCCACTTTGAGAAGGACACCTTAGCTTCACCGACTCCAAGCAGGACCGCGAAGCCCATTTCCTCCCCCATCAGTGAAAACAATCGAATGCTTCCCATGTAAATTGTTCAAGTGAAAGGAATACACAGGCAGTTCTCCAGGAGTAAATTGGCAGTCAAGAGAAGACTTGGCCTCTAATTTATATTGCTTTGCACTTTGATCTGATACTAAGACACAGCGTTCTTTGGTGAAATTTTGGGTGCCAAACACCTACCCAGAATGTCCAGGGCTTTCCTTTGCAGAAGTTTCCTTTTGACTGTCCACGTCATTCTGAATTCTGACTCGTGTTAGGGACGTGCCGGACTATGGGAAAGTTTCTCTGGGTTGTGTTAGTAACATTTTTGGGGTTATACTTCCTTTCTGTACCATTTCTCTTAATTTAAAGGACTGTAAGCCAGGTCGTATTACCTCCCCACAGGTAACCTTGCTCTTTCATTAACTGTCCTCTGCGCCCAGCCGCCTCCCGGTATGTGGTAGGGTAACACCTTCACACGCGCGCTCGCCTCCTAATTTAAATCCCTGTATCCGCATGTAGATACAATGTACATAACAGTCGAACCTCAAGGTCGCCGGAGTCAGGGCCCCGCGCCCGAGACACTAACTCGGAGTGTGCGCGCACTCGGCCGCGGGCGGGGCTCCAGGGCCGGGCACCGGGTCGGTGCGGATGGCCGAGGGCCCTTCCTGCAGTGTTCATACGGTGTTTTTAGTTTGTCATTGTCATTTGTGTGTGCGTGTGGTGTGTGTTTTTAATGGGAATCTTGTTTTAAAATGTAATTCCTCGAGTTTCTCACAATGTTTTATTTGTTGTGCAGCATATACGATAGAGAGGTACCTGAACATCGTTTTCATCTTTTCCTCAGAAGAACTCAGTACTGGCAGTCACTTCCCATAGTGTTCGTGTGACTTCGCTGTCCGAACTGTTACTCTGTGCATCGGTAACCCTGGGGAGGGAAGAACAAGAAGGCGCGCGCGTGGGGCCCGCGTGCAGGGCAGGCTGGCCGGGGGCCCGCCCTGCGCGGAAGGGCGCTCCTGCGGGGCGCAGGGCCTCGCGCTCACGCGTCCCGTCGTCTCTGGCGTTGCCTGCTGCTGCGGCCCGGCAGGCTCTCAGGGCGCTCCGAGTGTGGGCAGCCGGGGTGTGTGAACGGCTCTGTCGTGCTGACCGTGCGTGGGAAGGGCCTGGGCACCGGCTGGCACTCCGTCTCCCTTGTCCACGATCAGGTTTTGATTTGCCCCGCCATTGTTTCCAAAGATCATGGAATGTCGATAGCATTTTCAAGGACCAATGCGAACCTCCTGTTGCGAAACCTCTTCCCGTGGAAGCACACTCTACTACTAAAGACAAGGTCCCTGGGCTCTGTGTCGTCTTCGCGTTGAGAACGGTGTGGGGATCAATGTGTGTATGTGATTCGTCTCTCGGGTTGGCTTTGCTTTTTCCTTTTTTGAATACATCCCCTCCCTCCCACGTTACTAAATTTCTGTTTCTGAGAAATTGAGCCTCAAAATGTAAAAAAAAAGTGAGCCCCCACTTGTAAGGCGGGTGTCGTAAGCCTGCCAGCGGCCACGAAAGCGGTGTGACTCTCACCGCCCGCGTCTCACAGCGCCCCCAGCAGACTGGTTAGGGAGCCCGGGAGGGGCGGGCGGAGGCAGTTCCGAACGAATGGACTTTCTGTTGTTTTTGCATGTTTAATATAAAAGTTCTCGTTCCTTGGGAGATCATGGCCTTTGAATATGCACACAACCTTTGAATTGTGCCTACTAAACTATAGCAGGGGACTCTGGCACCCAAGGAATTCAGACTTTCTGGGATTATAGTAGTAATTCCCAGCCGTACTCGGGACTTTATTTTGCTAACCCATAATTGAGCAACTGTAAATTACTGCTATATTAATGTTTTAAAGCACTGGGATAGTCTGATTCTAACTTGTAATTAATTATGTTTGCCAATTATCTGTTTGAAATAAATTTGTGTCTGAACAGCTATTGAAACTGTTAAATTGTACAGATATTATTCATGACAGCTTTGTACTGTGGAATGTGCTTAATAAAAAACAAAAAGTTGACCTTTGTCCATTAAATTGCTAAGTAATGTCAATAAATCAAGTATGAGTATTAATGCAGTACATCTAATCTGGCTTCATGCAATTGTTACTTCAGCTACTAATTCAAAGCCAATACTCTTAATAAAGTGTTGCAATATTCCGGTGTTCTGTTAAGAAATTTTTCCAAAATAAAAAAAGAAACCCTGTTGTGTGCTATTAGTAATTCAGTGACATCCAATTAAAGTTTATAGATTAAAAAATTCATCTGCTCTGTACAATGAGGTTGAAAGCAAACTGCTCTTGGCCTGTGACGACCACGTCCCGCCAGTCTGCCCATGGGGTCTTTTGTGAGCGCTGGCGGAGCCGCGGGAGCCGGCCAGCTCAGAGCTCCTCCTGCAAACCCACTTCCCACAAGCACTGCCTTGCTTCCCAAGTCACTGCAAGGGTAGGAAAAGGCCCCTGGGACGTCCCCAGGTGGCTCTGGTGAAGAGGGTGGAGGTGTGAGAAGTACACTTACGGTGACTCCCTTTTTGCAAGTTTGCAGGTTCACACGTCACTGCTTGAGTCCTAGGTCGGAAAGGACATGGGTCCGGGTCTGCAGGCTGTGCTTGGACGCCCTGCGAGGTAGCGAGAGTTTCCCGGAGAACTGGCCCTCACCACCCACCCCCTAGTCGGCCGCTGTGGTCCTGTGGACTTCGGGGGTGAACCTAGAGTATTTCTGTATGATAGTGTTGCCCCTGCCTGTTCTTTTTTTGTTGTTAAAAAAGTTTTAAAAATACATAACTTGCATATGGTTAAAACCAACTTATAAACCATAAACAAAAGGTTAGAAGTGGTTTTCTCCCTTGACTCTCGGCCCCAATCATTGTTAACCAATTTTTGGCGTATCCCACAATGGATAATACTCTGCAGAGAAGGGTTTGTGCATCATGCCCCCTGCCCTCCCTGCCCCCCACACTGCCTTTCGCCGTTAACGGTAGTGTGCTGTGCAACAGCTGCCCCTGGCTGCTGTGTCTGATGTGCTTCAGGAGAGCATTCCACGTCAGTAGGCCTAATTCTCTTGTCATTTTTGTTCATGGCTGCCTAGTATTGGGGTATAAGGATGCACCACGAGTTCTTAGCTAGTTCCTTGAGGGTGGAGAATCGGGAGGGGCCCTGCCTTTTTCTCTCCATTGGCCCAGGTCTTCCCCTCCCTGCTTGCTCTCGGCAAGATAAGCCGGGTGATTGGGCTAAAGCTTAGCAGCTGTTCACAATCACCGCAGAGCGGGAAGACCCTCAGACTTGGGCTGGACCTCAATCACATCTCTGGTCGTCTCTACCCTCACAGAGTTGGTGCTCAGTAAATACTAGTTTTCTTCCTTGATAGGTGAGGTGTTACCGCAAGGAATTCACAGCTCTGAATGCATCCCATAATGATGACAGAGGTTCTAAGAGAGGTTTTGGAGGATTTGGACCTCTAATCAGAAGCCAGTGGTGCTTTGCCACGTTGGCCTATTTATTTTCCCGTTACTAAGGAGAAAAGCAGTTGGGCTGTCTGGCCGATACTGCTGTTACTAATTAGCCGTGTGGCCACACCCCCTCTGGGGTCTCAGCAATCTCACGTGGAAAAGGTTTCACTCGTTCGGTCTTGGAGGGCGCAGGCCCCAGCTCCGGACAGTGTGTTGCCTTGTGGAATGGAGACCCAGGGGTGGCAGGTCTACATTTTCTAAAAAGGTGGAAATCTGCATTATGTAGACTCCCACTTCAGGAAAGTTGGGATTTTCTTTTTTTTTTAAATAAATGGCGGGGCACCCGTTTGCTATCTCTGAACTAACACGATTTTAAGCATTTGTAGTAGTGACCTGTTGAAGCACTGTGCCCGAGTTTGGTGACAGAAGGCTTGAAGCACAGAAGTGATTCCAGAGAAATGGAACAAAGGGCGTGCCTTGTGACAGAGCCACCAGCGCACATTGATCGATCGATACATTTATGAAAATGGCCTAAAAGGGGAGGTGGTTGAAAAGACAAGAGGAGGAGAAAGAGCCAAGAGCTGGCAGCCCTGGCCTTCAATCGCTGAGTGTAGAGACCAGCTGCCTGCCGTGGAGCTGGAATTGATTTCACATTAGGCAGGATTTAGGCCTAAAATGGACTCCGGCTGGAGAGGACTCTGGGAGCTCCAAGGTCTCAGAGCTCCAGCTTGTTTTCTCGCACAAAACTGGGTCTGTGACCTCAGAGATAACCAACAGGCATCTGCAGGATGACTAAGCGGGTGACTGCCCAGGTGTTTACCTGCCTGAGGACACGACGGTGCGCCCCACACACCAGATGCACTGAAACCCTACCTCAGCGTTTTGCTCGGAGAAGGTACGCAGGGAAACTGGGAGGGACAAAGCCAGAGGCTCCTCTGCAGTGGGCGCGCCTTGGGGACAGCTTGAAGCGGCTGTTCTGATGACATCTTGGAGGACAGTGTAAGTCCCCCCATCCCGCCCTTCCCCTCCTTCAACCCCACAGACCTTTCTGTTCTCGAAAGGCTGTTTTCCTCCCAAACACCCTGAAGCTCCGGGGGCTGGGAAGGAAGGCCCCTCCGGCACTGCAGCTGTTGGGGTGGGGGGGGGAATGGAGACCAGCCCGCGGGGGTCCCTGTCCAGCAGATGGCAGGAAGGAGCACCCGTCGGGGCTGGCCCATCGGGCTGGGGATTGGAGCTCTGCCTCCCACAGGCAGCAGGCCCCACGGGCAGCGGGCCCCACGGGCGAGCGCCTTTCTGCCCTCAACCTGAGCTTCCTCATCGAGGGGATGCGGTTAAACGACATAATCTACAGTGACTGGCACGTAGCAGGTACTTGGTGGCTTCAAAGGTGGCATTTAAACAGGTGGAACGGAATGTCCAGCCCAGAGAAAGCCGGAAGGGTTGGCAGGGTTTGGGTGGAGCGAGATGAGACAGTGGTGTGCGCAGGCAGCCTGGGGCTTGTCTGAGCTTCTGAGCGAACACACTCCTGTCCCCGGCGAGGACCTGTCCCAGTGAGGACTGAAGTTAGGGACCAGGGCCTGGGCTCTTCAGTGGGTGGGAGAGAGGGAGATGGGCCAGGTGAACAGTGTTTATACCGAGTTATTTGTTATTAAGAATAATCCAGTTTTAAAATCATATTAAGATGTGTTTCTGGGAAGGGATTGAGACCTCTATCTGCCACCACCCTCAGCAAATGAGTGTCTCCAAAGTAGACAGGAGAGACTTTCATGTCCTCGGCGTTGGGGCCAGGGTGGGGGTGGGGCAGGGAAGGGGGGGTGCCCCCACCTCTCCGAGCTCCGTGGGCACGGAGGTGCCAGCAGGCTCCCCGAGGAGCCAGACCTCCGACTGGACAGTCCCCTCTCTTTAACAGACCCTCTGCACGTCTCTCTCTTCTCCCACTGTCACCTGTCCTTTGCTCATTAATAAGTGTACACGGTGTGGCTCCGGCAACGCACAGGCTGCAAACGGAACTGGGCTGGTCGGGTGCCTGGGGCCGCCCCATGCGCCCAGCTGACCCGGGAGTGGGGCCTCTGTCCCAGGCGCAGTGGGCAGCCTCTGCGGGCTTTAGGCTGGGAGTGAGCAGGTAGGGAGATGCAGGAGAGAAAGGTCAGGGTCTGGGGAAGGAGAACCTGGGGTGGTCCCAGGGAGGGGTAGTTTTGAGGGGCGCTGCAGCAGGGCGGAACTACGGGAGTTGGCTGAGGGGCTCAGAGGGGCTGTTTAGTGTGGTGTCTCCCAGGTGCCGCGGTGGCTGGGGGTGGGAGCAGCCATCGTGCGGGGCGCGGGGGGAGCCCGCCCCTGCTCTCAGGAGGCTTACCTTCCCAAAGAGACAGGCAACGTACAGCGCGCGGCCAGGTACGCACGAGTCCGCAGGGTAAACTCAGAGCGTGATGAGGCTGTGAACAGAGGACACGGGACGGTGGATGGCGGCAGGGGGCAGGGGGCCATTTGTGCCAGGGCCTCAAGGACAAGCAGGCGCCAGCCAGGCAGTCCCAGGCGGAGGCTATGGAGACGCAAAGACCTCAAGGTGGGGATGCCCTGGACCTGTGTGGCCGGAGGGCACCTGGACCCCCAGGAAGGGAAGGAGGGTGAGTTGAGGCGATCGCCGGTGACGCATTTGGATCTGGACATCGCAGGTGCCAGAGAGACCGCCGAGGGGCGCTGACTGGGGCCTGATGCTGCCGCCAGAAGGACATGCACCGTGTTCAGGAAGAGGGCACAGGACGACAGCCAGCGGCGAAGGCGGTGGCGGGAGCAGCCGGAAAGGTAGGGACGTGATAACCCGCAGTCTTGGCGGGGCCGGGTGGGGCTCCCCGACGCGGGGAAACCGCTCCTTCCAAACACTCCGCCCCCACCCCCGACTGCCGGGGCCTCCGGGGGAACAATGCCGGTCCACTCATCGGAGGCTGCAGGCCACCTCGCCCGCTCCCACTTCCCCTCCGGGCCAGCGCCGCACCCCCGCGCCGCGCCCCTGCCCCTCTGGCCTTGGGCGCGCTCCCTGCAGCCCATCTGCACAAACAGACCGCGGCCAGGTCTGCGCCTCAGGAATGAGGAGATAAAAGGGACCATCGGGGCTTTTTCCACCAAAGGCGAAAGCATTTTATAGAACGGGCTGTGAGTTTTTGTTTCAGGAAATTTCATCATGTCTCCAAGAAGGGGAGGGGAAGGGGGGGAGTGGAGAGAGGGAGAGAGAGAGAGAAAGAGAGAGAGAGAGAGAAGGTAATTGGCCTCAGATTTCCTCGCTCCCTTTTCATGTTGGTAACAGGAGGCGGCCCAGGTCAGCCCGGGGTCAGAGACGTTTGGGCTCTTTAGTGCCGCTCTGTGAATACCTCGGTTCTGTAATAGTTTTTCCTTTAAAAACAGCTCTGCCTTCTTTGGCAGATGGTGACATTCCATTAGCATATGGAATATTTTTCAAAACACATCCGAAAGCATGTCTCTTACGGAGGAGACTGGGCAAAAGCAAACGAATGTTTGAAAAGTATGTTGGGAGCAACCCCGCATCTCACAGAAGGCTCCCATCCCACGGCCCCACCCGCCCCTCCTTCTCTC